GATCACTACAGTCAAGCTCACTGACAAACACAAAATGTCTGACACATACACAAACTTACTACAGACATGCTCACTTCTACACACACAAGCTCCCTGACCCATACAAAAACTCACTACAGACAAGCTCACTGACACACACACACAAGCTACCTGACCTATACACAAGCTCACTACAGACAAGTTCACTGACACATACAAGAGCTACCTCACCCATACAGAAGCTCACTACAGACAAGCTCACTGGCACACACAAGCTAACGACAAGCTCAATGACACACACACAAGCTCCTTCACCCATACGCAAGCTCACTACAGTCAAGCTCATTGGCACACACAAGCTCACTGATCCATACATATGATCACTACAGACAAGCTCAATGACACAGACAAGCTCACTACTGCACACACAAGCTACCTGACCCATACACAAGCTCACTACAGTCAAGCTCACTAACCCATACACAAGCTTACTGACAAGGTCACTAATAAGCATATGCACACACAGAACCACTATCAGCCATTGGCTGCTAAGAAAATATACAAGTACCTGACAATGGTAGTGGGGACTCTAAGAGCAATGTTCTCTTCCTGTGGAATAGGTCATCAGGATGAGGCTGGGGCAGAGCTTTAGTGCAGGGGTTGTCTCTTGCCAGACTGGAAATGGCAAAGGAGCTTTTGTGAGACTTTCAATGCTCTCTTACTTCTCCCTGCTCCTGCTGGCTACTTACTCTGCCTGTGTACCGGCCTCTGGCAGCTTTGCAGTGGCCATATAGTCATCTGTCTGCCCCAGCCCCCAATGAAAAGTTTGAGGAGGGAATAATAAATAAGTGTAATATGCAGCATTGCCGGCCTCAGGTGCAGCAGTCCACCGGGAAATTTCCTGGTATCCCGATGGGCCAGTCCGACCATGCTAACTTCTTCTAGTAGTGGTTTTCTGCCCATCTTACTTTGTGCTTCCCTTTGGTATAACATTCCAACTAGCCTTTTTACCCTTCACCACTCAGTATTTGTTCCTCTCTTTATGTGTTCCAGTCTCTTTTCCCACAATTTAACTACCAATCTCTCATTCTACTCTCTATCACTGTGTTCTCCTTGGGCTGTACTGGGGCTGCTTTGATCTTCATGTTCCTCCAGCACTGCTCTGTTGCGATCCTTTAATGATGCTGATCCTGGAATTACACCATATCCTGGCTTCCAGCATTAAAACAGGAGATCGTTTTGGCAGGCAGGTGCCTACTCTGCCTTAGGCAACTTTTGAACTTTCCTAATGGAGTATCCTGTGGTGTGGCCAGCTCTTGGCCTCCATGTGACAGACGAAACACAGAGGGCCCGTTCGCATTTGCAAATGTTGCCATATAATGTTGGACTGTTGCCATATAAACCCATCAAAAGAGTGGGGAGCAAACCTGCCAGGAACCAAGGGCAATTCAAATGTTTTGGAGTGCAAGACGTACTAAAACTTGTAGGACATAAAGGATCTGCTGCTAATGTCTTGGTGCCAGATACCACAGGACACGTTCAGAGGTCTGGTGGAGTCCATGCCTCCACACATCAGAACTATTTTAACAGCAAGAGGTGGACCTACACAGTATTAGGCAGGTGATTATAATGTTGTGGCTGATCAGTCTAAGTGTTTCACTTCATTAACATTTTATTTGCTTATTGTTTTTGGTGCATTATTTGAAGAACAAAATATTTTTTCAAGCAAAATTCAGGTCAAAATAGATTTGTCTAAAACAAATATTGCATAAGCACCACCACCACCACCACATTTACTTATCACAGTTTATACCCTTACAATGTCCTTAAATAACCTGTACTGTTCTCAATGGAAAGTTTTTCCAGTTATCTGCGACCCTATCTACCCCGCTGTTAGTCTTTACTCCTTCCCCTGGAAGGCTATTCCAGGTATCTACTACCCATTCCGTGCTACTGTTAGTCTTCACTGCTTCCTCTGGAACGCTATTTCAGGACTCCACAACCCTTTCTACATCACTGTTGGCCTTTACTGATCTATATCACGGTTAACCTTTACTGTTTACCTTATCATTCTATTCCAAGTATCTACACCCCGTTATATATATTAAGCTCTCTCTCAACACATTCTAGGAAGTTAAATGAACTTTTCAATGTCAGACTCTTTTGCTGAGTTTCCCACTCATTGGTAAATACACACTGCCAACTGTACTTACTCATTTATTTAAGACTGGTGAGAGTACAGCACCCCTGTTCTTCAGACAGACTCAAAATAAACAAAATCCAAGTGAGACTAGCAAGTGGTGCTATAGCCAGCTGAATGATGTGTCTAATATACAGTACTATATATTGCACAAATTAAAAGAATGTTTTTTTTGGCTGCGTAGGTGGATGCTGGAACGAATACACAGCTACCATATGTATAAAATAAAGGGTCACTCTATGGATAGGCATCATTATTAGCTACTGTAAGCTACAATTTCTATCACACTCACTGGTATTTAAATAATTGCTACCCATGGTTTCTCAGGAGGTTGGGCAACACATCGTCAATAAAGTGCTATCACTACCTCTCTATATCCTCCTGGAGATTTGCTCTATAGAACTGAACACAATACTCTAGGTGAGATCTTACCAGGGATCTATAAAGTACTATCACTACCTCTCTATATCTGCCTGGAGATCTGCTCTATAGAACCGAACACAATACTCTAGGTGAGATCTTACCAGGGATCTATAAAGTACTATCACTACCTCTCTATATCCTCCTGGGGATCTGCTCTATAGAACTGAACACAATACTGTAGGTGAGATCTTACCAGGGATCTATAAAGTACTATCACTACCTCTCTATATCCTCCTGGAGATCTGCTCTATAGAACTGAACACAATACTCTAGGTGAGATCTTACCAGGGATCTATAAAGTACTATCACTACCTCTCTATATCCTCCTGGAGATCTGCTCTATAGAACTGAACACAATACCCTAGGTGAGATCTTACCAGGAATCTATAAAGTACTATCACTACCTCTATATATCCTCCTGGAGACCTGCTCTATAGAACTGAACACAATACTGTAGGTGAGATCTTACCCAGGATCTATAAAGTACTATCACTACCTCTCTATATCCTCCTCGAGATCTGCTCTATAGAACTGAACACAATACTCTAGGTGAGATCTTACCAGGGATCTATAAAAGTACTATCACTACCTCTCTATATCCTCCTGGAGATCTGCTCTATAGAACTGAACACTATACTCTAGGTGAGATCTTACCAGGGATCTATAAAGTACTATCACTACCTCTCTATATCCTCCTGAAGATCTGCTCTATAGAACTGAACACAATACTCTAGGCAGTGGTGTATCTTGGCTTTGTCCTGCCCTAGGCAGGACAAAACTCAGACAACCCCCCACCCTCCGCACGCCACCCCCACCCAACCCTTCCCCCCTGCCCCGCCTTCTAAATACACACACACATTCACTGACAGATACGTATACACTAGCTAACAGAAACACACACTCACTAACAGACACACACACACTAACAGACACACACACACACCCACTAACAGACACACACAGTCAGACACACACACACAGTCAGACACACTCACTAACACACACAGTCAGACACACTCACTAACACACACAGTCAGACACACACACTAACAGACACACACAGTCAGACACACACACAGTAACAGACACACACACACACTAACAGACACACACAGACACTCACTCACATTAACACACTCACTTTTTTTTTTTATTTCACCCCCAGCCTCCTTACCTTTTGGAATGCTGAGGGAGGTTCTCCCATTCCCTGGGGGGTCCAGTGGCTGCTTGGCTGCTGGTCGGTCGGGCGGGCGGCGCTGGCGAGGGAGCACTTTCTCCTGAGCTCTCTGCTCAGCTCCCTCGCACACAGCCCGCAGAGTGATGCTGGGAGCCGGAATATGATGTCATATGGGGAAAGTGCTCCCTCACCAGCGCTGCCCGCCTGACCGACCGCCTGGTTTGTCAGTTAGCCGCAAGGCTAACAAGGCATTTGCCCAGGCATTTGGGGGTGGCTTTTTTTGCCGCCCCGTGGAAAATGCTGCCCAAGGCAAATGCCTTGTTTGCCTCACGGCTAAAACGTCCCTGACTCTAGGTGAGATCTTACCAGGGATCTATAAAGTACTATCACTACATCTCTATATCCTCCTGGAGATCTGCTTTATAGAACTGAACACAATACTCTAGGTGAGATCTTACCCAGGATCTATTAAGTACTATCACTACCTCTCTATATCCTCCTGGAGATCTGCTCTATAGAACTGAACACAATACTCTAGATGAGATCTTACCAGGGATCTATAAAGTACTATCACTACCTCTCTATACCCTCCTGGAGATCTGCTCTATAGAACTGAACACAATACTCTAGATGAGATCTTACCAGGGATCTATAAAGTACTATCACTACCCCTCTATATCCTCCTAGAGATCTGCTTTATAGAACTGAACACAATACTCTAGGTGAGATCTTACCAGGGATCTATTAAGTACTATGACTACCTCTCTATATCCTCCTGGAGATCTGCTCTATAGAACTGAACACAATACTCTAGGTGAGATCTTACCAGGGATCTATAAAGTACTATCACTACCTCTCTATATCCTCCTGGAGATCTGCTCTGTAGAACTGAATACAATACTCTAGGTGAGATCTTACCCAGGATCTATAAAGTACTATCACTACCTCTCTATATCCTCCTGGAGATCTGCTCTATAAAACATCCATTCCACTGCTTCAACACATTACAAAGCATTACTGCAGGAATAAATGTGTACAAAGCAAAATACACTTTAATTATTTTAGAATCGCCACTGAAAAGAAATAGTTCTGTGACCTTTTTTTCAATATGTTCCCTCGACAGAACTGACTGCCTAGGTTTCGAATAACACAGCATCAGCAAATCTCGGTAAGATAAACTAATCAGTCACAGCGAGGTACAGGGACCTTTAATCCCATTCAGGTAATCAGCATTTTGTCAATAGGGTGGGATCAGTAGGGGAGGGAATAGACTGGGCTGCCTTTGGTATAAATAGGTTCCTCCACTGAGCCTCACACCACAGTTGGATACCTACAGACCTTCTCAGGTAAGTCTCCCTCACTCAGTTTTACTCTGTTATAAATAAACTTCAGTTTCCAAATCAAGGTACTCACAGCTAATCAGAGTGGTTTTAATGACATTTTAACCCGTAGAAACATCTTTTGTTATAAGTTTTATATATTTTTTTATTTTCATTTTATGGACTAAAAATGTATAAGTGCATTTGTGTACTTTATATATGTTGTATTATCCACTTTTACTTTGTATAAATTAGTTGTTTTTTTTTTTAACCTTTCTTTACATTGGTTGTAAACATTGCAGTTAATAAAAACTATAAAGAAAGAAAGAAAAATCTCAAAATGTAAGGAAACTGTCAAGAATTTTTTTCCCCCTCCGTAAATTTTTATTCATCTAAAAGTAATGGTTCTGCAAATTGCAATTAGAATTACAGATAAAGTATACGACATAATTCTTTAATGGTATATGTGCACGAGGAGTTAATCGTTTTGTCCGAGGGATGATTAGCAAAGGATGTATTTGCTACATGTTAAGAGTTAATGAGAGGATGATCTTTTCATATGATTTTTTGTTTATGTGCAAGATTGTACCACCCAACATCAAAGAATAAATGTTACGTTTCTATCAGATTGCTGTAATAACAGAAATACGAAAACAGAAATTGTTTGTATTTGTAATATTTTACAAAACCTATACTAACTTTGGCACCCTAGATGACTGTAAACTATATTTTTCTATGATGCACAGCCAACTTTCATATCTTAGGGGAGGGGTACCCAAAGGTAGATCCCCAGATGCTTCCATGATGCTTTGTCATAGTAAAGGCATTCCAAAAGCATGCAAAGCATCAAGGGAGCTGTGGTTCTACAACATCGGGGGATCTACCTTTTGGGCGCTCCTGCTTTAGGGGTTAACTGCATGTCCATGCAGCCTTATTTTATAAAAGTGACAATTTCAAGAGAAATCAGCAGTTTTATAAGTTCCATTGGTTTCCTGGCTCCTTCACGTTTTGTTTAAGGATTGCTGTGATTGTCCGGCACACACCTTGTATCCCAATACTTTTCTATAAGAAGCATCTGATTGGCGACACGTCATCAGTACTGGAGCAGTCCTGCGCTGTAATAAAGATGAGTTCAATTGTTTTCTTATCCTGTGTCTGCTTAAATGGGGAGCCTGTAATCTAAAGGAACACTCCATTTAAAAAAACAAACAAACATATATTTTTTTAATTGGAGTGTGCCTTTCATGTATGTGTTCCATTTACATTGTATTTACTCAGAGTGTTCACATTTGCCTCCTATATGTTCTACCTGATACACCATACAGTCTTATAATACCGTGTTTAATTACAGGCTTTGAATTTGCTGCATATAAGATTCAAACATGAAAGTCCTGGCTTTGGTCGTCGTCATTATGGCCATCAGCGGCATGGAAGGTAAAAAGGCACCCTTTTGTTTAAAAAAAAAAAAAAAAAGTTTAAAGGAACGCTCCAAGTGCCATAATCCTTGCAGTCCTCTGTATTAGTTATAGTGTCAGTGATGTTTTAGGGCCCTTCCAGTGTTAGAATGGAGTGACAACTTACCTGGGGTCTGACTCCTTATTGTGCTCCTGTTTCCAGGGACAGTTTGGCTACTTACCTTGAAGGGAACTCCTGGCACCATAACCACTACAAGGATCTGTAAAGATTATGATCTTTAAAGTGTCCCTTAAAAAAAACTAAAATCATCATCTTACACTGATACTTTATCTGTACAGCAGCCGCTTCTCCCACTATGAGCCCATCAAATATGATGATCTCTGGTCCAATACAATGCTAAACACCAAGGACCTAATGTGTCAACTTCTGCATGGAGAGTCTCTTTAATGACATCGGCTTTCTATAGGAAAATATTATTAGCACTGACTGTCTTGCTGAAACATGGATTTAAGCCCATTATTTTATTTTTTTAAGTTTACTGCATGATATCATAAATTAGATAAAGTGAGTGGTCTCGATTTCATGTCATACAACAATGAAAATATAAAAGTAAACAATAACGTCTCACATAAAACATCATCGTTGTTACAACTAATATATAGATGTTTTTTAACATTTTTTTTTTCCCCATCTGCAGCTGGTTTGGTGAAGAGGGAAGCTCCAGCTATCCCTAACCTAGACGAAATTGCCGAACAATTGAAAACCTTTGCAGAAACCTTCAAAGACAAAGTTCAGGAATTTGTATCCAAGATCCATAGCCCTGAGGTCCAATCTCAATACCAGTAAGTTTCAAATTAAATCAAATGTTCCATCTAAAATGTATGTCGAACCTTGTGGACCAAAGAAAGAGTTAGGATTTATCTTGTTAACTCCAAGAACCATAACCACTACAGCTTATTATATTAATTATGGCACCAATCAGCTATTTGTGCTGGCCATTTCAATCAGTTTGACAAAGAAAACAAGGAAATCCCGTGCCCCTAAGGCTTCCCCTTACCTTGGGACATCAAAATGAGGAGATGTGATTAATCGTTAGCCATCCAAACTCTTGTACTTTATAAGAACACACATTATTACAAGTACAATTCTGGCTATATAATTATTCACATGTGGTTTTGTACCATGCCATGGGGACACCAAAATTAACATAACCATGAAGAGGGGATATAGAAAGTAAAACAGTTATGAATCACGGGAAGCAGAATAAAGGCGCACACACCGTTACCAGTACAACTAGTTGTGCAAGTTATGGTGCATAGTTTGTCCCTTTAATTAAACTATTGCCATTGTTTATTGTATTTGGTGTCTATCTAAAAGGATTACATCAGAAGAGAATTCTAAGTATTGTGGTGTGGAGTGTTGATTTCACTGCAAATCTTTGGGTTCTATGTTTTTCATCCAATCACAAATCAGACTTTCTCAGGAGAAGCTGATTCCACAGATGTAACACACATACACGTATTTTATATTAATTATCAGTATAATTAAAAGAAGGAATTCAAAATGCCCCTTTAAGAATGAAACGGATAATCGGATGGATCTGATAAGATCTACAAATGCTTATACATAGACCAGTGATGTACCTCGACATTGCAACCTAAAGGGATTGCTGAGAATTATGGGAAATATAGTTCAGAGACATCTGCATGACCAAGGTTACCCATGAAAGAAACATAACCAATTTATAACAATGATTTCTTTGTTCCTTACAGACAATACCTGGAACAATCAAGAGCCCATGTGGAACCTGTCAAAGCCCAGGTGGAAAATTGGTTTACTGAATTACTTGCCAAAATCAAAAATAGTGCTTAAACTGTATCCAGTATCCAGAAATGATCCTTTGACTTCTCAAAAACCTCTAGAATAATTTTACATCAAAGTTCTCTTTCCTTAACTGTATTTCTGTTTATCTATTCTTTGTTGTGATTACATTTTTGTATAACAAACTTGGACATTGGCTTCTTTTTTCATTTGTAATCTTGCATGCTCGTATCTGAGTCCTGTACCAGTCTTGAAAGTTCACGCAAATGCATGTTGGTCTTCACATATAAAATATAACTCAAAATGCTTGCATGCATTTCACAAACATACATTTTGCTCTTCAAGGACAAAGTGAATAATATGATGGAACACATGAATTTCTACGTTCACTATTGCACTATATAGTCAATATCACTTTAAGTTAGGGATCAACCGATTATTGGTGTGGCCGATATTGAGCATTATGCCAAATATCAGTATCGGCCTAAAATTATACTGATATGGCCAAAAATGCAGATGAGGGAGGAGGCCCAGAACACGCTAACTTCAGCTCCTCTCTCTAACTCTTGGGAGCCCCCGGCTGTTATAGTGTTGCCGTGGATTACCACTGCAACGCTCCACGCGGCTTACTAGGCTTGCAAGAGTTGGACAGAGGACCTCCCGGACAGAGAAGATAGCGTGTGCTTGGTCCCGGCCTCCCCCTCTATAACGTGAAACCCTCTTGCAGCCTGCACAAATTACTGGACCACCAGGGAGTGCTACGTTCCCCCTCCTTGGCCACAGGTAAAAGGCAGGGAGGGGGGTGAAGTAAAATATATATAAAATATTTATTAAATATATTAAATTAAATCATTTAAAAAATACACAATAAAAGATTTTAGCTAAGCTGCCATCTCTTCAATGTGAAACCCCCTGGCTGCCTGCACAAAGCCACTGGACCACCATGGAGTGTAATATGTTAAAAGGCAAGGACGGGTAGAATAAAAATTTTAAAATATTTATTAAATATAATAATTATATAAATAAAGCTTTTATCACAGCCACCCCCTCTTCAATGTGAAACCCCCTGGCAGCCTGCACAAAGTCACAGGACCATCAGGGAGATTAATGTTCTTCTCTCTGGCCACAGATAAGATATCGATATTGGCCCTAAAAACACAATATCAGTCAATCTCTACTTTAAGTAATAAAAATCAAACATTCTAGTGGTGCCTTGCAGACAAGGCTGCTGTGTGCTTTAATTCTGTATGATTACCTTCTCATAAACATGAGGTTTTTTAATTATCTATCATTTTCTGGGCTTGCCTATAGAGTACAGACACTAGTGCTCAAAGGGCAGCCAGGGCAGACATAAGAGGGGTTTGTTTATTCATTAACCACCAAACTACGGAGAACTAAAAACCAAAAAGCAAAACATAAGCAAAAAGGTGCCAAAAACAGCCGCACCCGCACGCTCAGCTTAGCTATTTCAGCCTTAAACGTACAATTTAGTTTTCCATTCACTGCATTTCGGTGTTTACTAGAAAAACCCTAAATAGAGACTCTGCAAACATTGGGAGAAAAAAAACACAAGGTAGGCAGGCATGAAAAGAGCCATCTGGTCAGATTTAAAGAGGCAGACCATGGAAATACACTGAGGGTTAAAAAGAGACGTTCATACACTACCTGTCGTTACTTGACTCCTCTTCATATTCTTTATGGAACTTGTGAAATGTATCTCACTGTATACGCAGTTGTCATTCTGGAGATCGACCCACCAGCAGTCCAGGCTGAGCACACACCTTGAGTGAGATACATATATGACATATTAGCCTAACCCCGATCTGTAATGTAAGGTCATAAATCAGCGGGCTTGTGTAGAACACAGGATCTTTGCAAGGAATTATGCTGTCCTAAGCAAAGATGCATTTTCACATTCCCTTGTAATTCTAACTCATCTTCAAACCATGTCTCCAAATATCGGCTGTAAGCTATTGTTAAAGGAACACTCTAAAAATCATAACTACTACAGTGGGGTGTAGTGATTATGGTGCCAGGTGAGCATTGACGCCCCCAAATGTAAGCAATCAAGCCATTCGATAACAACGTCACTTCTTACCAGACGCTAATCTCCAAGCTCGGCCTCCTCTCTACCCTGGAAGCTCTCTTCAGTGAGCTAAGACCGGTGGTGCCGAGTTTAGCTCATTGGCGGAGAGTGATCAGCTGACACTCTCAGCCAAAAAGCTGGCCCTTCACAGCAGGGTTTAACTTAAGACAACTAATGTATGCTCCTAGCAGTAGCTTCTGGGTCTCCACGGAGGCTGAGACCGGCGCCCAGCGGACCCAAGTTAAGAAGCCACACTGTTAGACAGCAGACACTGGGCTGGCGCCAGAGCAATTATTGTAGGTCTCTGTAGAGTGCTCTGTAGTGGTTATGGTATTTGGAGTATTCCTTTAATAAGAGCAGCCAGTAGATATTTGCTGCTACAAATTACCAGTTCATTTACAACCTTAATTCATAAAACATAAAACGTATTGCTGACATTGTAGTCGTAAAATCACTGTTTAGATACCCTTGCCTCCTTTTGAAAAAGCCTCACCTTTTTCCCTCCCTCTCCATCTGTGGCGGAGGGAGACCATGAATCTTGATGATATTGCTAATCCGATGCTTAACCATAAATTCTAAAAAAAATTTAAAAAAACATTGGGAGGCTAATGCGCATATGCAGCAAAACACCGCGCTGCACCAATCAGCATCTCCTCATTGAGATGCATTGAATTAATGTATGCAGAACGTGGAGACGCTGATTGACAGTGCTACAGCACTGACCCAGGAAGCACTTTTAGTGGCCGTCTGAGTGACAGCCACAAGAGGAGTTACTAGGCAGTAATGTAAACACTGCCTTTTCTCTGCAAAAACTGCCTGCAGCGACACACTATACACACCAGAATGACATTAGGCTGTAGTTGTTATAGTGACTATAATGCCCCTTTAATGTCTGCTCCTTGGTAATGTCTACTGCGACATAAAATTTACCATTGTAAAAATAACAAAACATTTCCATAAAAGCTAAAACAGATTAACCAAAAGTTAACCCTTTCAGAACCTCAACAGCATTCAAAAGCACATAAGAAAACCTAAAAATGGGGGGCGGAGCCAACCACCGAGCCGCATGGACTTGCACTCACTGAGCTCCCTATCCAGAAAGCACAATCCACAGCCATCGGGCAATAAATAAGCAAAATGGGACACCCAAAACGAGCTAATGCAGGGCACCAACCCTCCAACAAGACATCCGCTGGGAAATCTGGAGTTTTAACAAAATATTTTAGAGACAATACGGAAACTCCAGGGGAGCCTGAAGGCCCAAATATGGAGTCGGATTCATCACCCCACCACTCTGCACCAACTAGTCCATCAGGATCTGAAACATCAAACTGCCAACCAGATGCAGACATTAGGAGCCTGCTCAGAGCCCTATCTTCAAAAACCGACATAGCCATAACAGGAGCAGACTTCCAGCAAACCAAACAGAGTCTCGGCCCTGGAAGATGACAGATACACTAGAGGCCCAAATCGGAGCACTAAGAGAGGTGGTGGAAGCCCAAACAAAACAGTTTTCCTTCTTACAAAGGTCCCTGGACGACCTAGACAACAGGGGCAGACACAACAACCTTTAGAATTAAGGGTATCCCAGAGGCAGATCGTGAACATCTACCCGACATTCTCAGGGAACTGTTCAATCTCATACTGGGCCGAGACACAGACACCCCAGTGATATTAGATAGAGTTCATATGGCTCTGCGCCCGCGCATCATGGCCTCTGAAAACCCACGCGATGTGGTATGCAGGCTCCATTATTTTGAATGTAAAAATAAGGTGCTGGAGGCACTGAGGCATTCCCAACAACCTCTTCTTTACCGAGGCCCCCCTGTTGCCATATATCCAGACCTGTCTTGGATGATGCTGCGGGCCCGCAGGGCGATGAAACCCATTACAGATCAACTACGCGCCAGAAATCTCCGATACCGCTGGGGCTTTCCCTTTGCTTTGACGACCACATACCAAGGCGACTCCTATACCATCGCACACCCTCAAGATCATTTTCTGGGCTTGCCTATAGAGTACAGACACCAGTGCTCAAAGGGCAGCCAGGGCAGACATAAGAGGGGTTTGTTTATTCTTTAACCACCAAACTACGGAGAACTAAAAACCAAAAAGCAAAACATAAGCAAAAAGGTGCCAAAAACAGCCGCACGCTCGGCTTAGCTATTTCAGCCTTAAACGTACAATTTAGTTTTCCATTCACTGCACTTCGGTGTTTACTAGAAAAACCCTAAATAGAGACTCAGCAAACATTGGGAGAAAAAAAACACAAGGTAGGCAGGCATGAAAAGAGCCATCTGGTCAGATTTAAAGAGGCAGACCATGGAAATACTGAGGGTTAAAAAGAGACGTTCATACACTACCTGTTGTTACTTGACTCCTCTTCATATTCTTTATGGAACTTGTGAAATGTATCCCACTGGATACGCAGTTCTCATTCTGGAGATCGACCCACCAGCAGTCCAGGCTGAGCACACACCTTGAGTGAGATACATATATGAGATATTAGCCTAACCCCGGTCCGTAATGTAAGGTCATAAATCAGCGAGCTTGTGTAGAACACAGGATCAGCGTTCCTGAGAGCAATAGACCTGCCGGAGATCCGCATACCGGACTGGTATGGCCCCATCCCGCCTCCTAACGCGCCCTAGAGACTGCCGCAACGCAATCGATGGCAACAGACCCCCTGAAAAAGACGACCGGGTCCCTCGGAAGACGCGACCGAAGACACGTCCTGAAACCCCAGCTTCCTACCACAGATAAGATGCCCACTGCACCAACACTTCACCCCGTGGAAAATCGTGAGTGACTGATCCCTCTTTACTTACCGCTACAATGGAGACCTCTCCTTTCCTTTCTGGCCGCTGACAACTCCCGCACACCATAACACGAGGACACATACCTACGACCACTGTATATCTTGTTGATTCAATCCATTACCACTGACCGTACTGAAAGATATCTCTCGACTACAACAACCAGCCTTAAACCAGATCTCCGGTCACGCAAGTATCATGCATTTTGGGGATGGGGATTGAAATACACCAGGACTGCCTTAGACTCATCTCTGTCTGTCTGCCCTCCCGTTCCAGATCCCAGGTTCCCTTGTCTCCCTCTAGCCGATCGCCCCACTGCAACCCAGAGATAGACTAATCTAGCCGACTACTACCCCACCCCTCTTCCTCCCCCCCCACTCCTCTGACGCAAAAGACAACCATCCCCTCCCTCCTCATCAACAGTCTGCACTTGACCCACAAGAGAAGATATATTTACTAACAGCTATTCTGGTTCAACACTTAAATGTTTTCATGCATGTATACTGTTTTATGTGATGATTGTTTTAAATAATTGTTATGATGTGATTCCATATGTCATGCCATTGTCATATTCACAGATGCTCGCGACCGACCACGGGCCCTACCTTAGATAGTCCCCCTACACAACTACTGCCCATCCTCCAACTACTCTAAACTTAATAATCTGGATTGGCTTTCTGGAGCCACATTTTCCCGTAACACACTACCTATCCCCACACCTGGGGAGCTGCAGTCCTCACTGCACAACCTCCATATTCCGCGCCACTGAGGCGAACTCACTGACTCAACCTTAAGGTCCAGGTGACCTATCCCAGGTGCACACTAGATACCCGGGTGGCCTATAAACCTCACCCAGAGTAAACCACCTAACGATACCCCCAAATAACCTACACCCAGTGCTGCTGACAACAGAAACATTAGGCAGCGAATTCCTTTGTACATAGTTCATCGTTCTATATTTTTCTTCCTACTCCCGTTCCCTCCCACACCCATCTCCAATACTACACCTCCCCCCCGGAAACCACCGCCTGTAGGGAAGACCGGGAGGGGACTCGCCCTCGCCCCCCCCCCCACAGATGGCCACGATACGGATTATCACACTCAATGTTTGGGGTCTCAATACACCTGAAAATGATCTCTGACACTTAAGGAAATACACAAGTTGAAGGCAGGTGTTGCCTTCCTCCAAGAAACACACTTTAAACATACGGCAGCACTGACACTACGAAATAGACACTTCCCAACCGGATATTTTAGCAACTTCACCAAAACCAAAACTAGAAGGGTAGCAATACTAATCTCATCACATTTACCCTTCCTGTACTCCTCTCACAAAACTGACGACTCAGGCAGATTGCTGCTGGTCAAAGGCCAGATCGGCCAAACCGCAGTCACCTTTGCAAACACATATCTCCCCAACAGACGTCAATGTAAGACACTTAGAAAACACCTCAAAATCATTGAACAATTCGCGAAGGGCATCCTATTATTTGGAGGAGACTTCAACTTATCACTAGATTCACTCCTAGACACAACCTCCCAAACAACAAGATATAAGAAATCAGCACGCCAGCAAATGACAACATTACTAGATCAAGCCCAACTAGATGATGGCTGGCGCATTACCCACCCGACTGATAAAGACTACTCCTATTAGTCACACGTATCACACGTATATTCCAGGCTGGACATGGTCTTTGTCCCGCATAGATTCCTTCACCTTATCCAATCCAGCAGATCAATAACGTGGTCAGACCACGCACCCTTGTCCCTAGACATAAAGATCCCCACTTTACCGCACAAATCATTCCAATGGAAACTGACGTAGTCTCCCACATAACAGAATCCCTCCATACCTACTTTGCTACAAACACAACTCCTGATATTCCCCCCCCCCACTTACGTGGGAAGCACACAAATGTGTAATGAGGGGAGAGCTGGTCGTGCTGGCATACAGACAAAAGAAACTAAGGGAAGCTAAACTCCAAACCCTTCAGGAAGAAATTAGAGCCCTTGAAAATAAGCACAAGCAGGACACGAGACTGAGCACCTACACAGAACTAATAGCCAAGAGATCAGCATTACAGGACATTTTAAACATCCATATCAAACACACTTTCCTACGCACAAAACACTCATATTACTCCAAAGGAGGCAAATGCAGCCGCCTACTGGCTAATGCCCTGAAACAACAAAGGCAATCGTCCTTTATATCTAAAATCAAGACCACCTCAGATTCACTGTCGTACAAACTCCCAGACATCATGACCTCCTTTCATGACTTCTACACCAAACTATACAATCTCAGGAACCCCCCTGCCCCCAGAACAAGACATAGAAAACTTCCTAGTGACCAGAATCCACCAAACAATCCCCAAGAACTTAGGGACCACTTAGGGACGTCCCAATTTTTCCCCTGAAGAAGTCCAATCTGCCATAAAACAACTTAAGATAGGGAAAAGCCCAGGCCCGGATGGGTTCACGGCCAAATACTACAAAACATTAATGTTGGCACTGACGGAACCATTCTTGCTAGCCTTTAACTCTCTTACACAAACTGCTTCTCTCCCCAAGGCTTCCCTAGAAGCCCACATAACCATTATCCCCAAACCGGGGAAAGACTTGACCAACTGTGGCAGCTACTGCCCGATATCCCTGATTAACCTGGATCTAAAATTATTCGCGAAGATCCTGGCAAACCGCCTGCGCCCCATACTGCAAACTCTGATTCACCCTGACCAAGCTGGATTCGTCCCGAATAGAGAAGCTAAACATAACACCACAAAACCCCTAAACCTAATTCACATTGCAAAACGTAGACCGATCGATAGCCTCATACTCTCAATTGACGCAGAAAAGGCGTTTGATCGCGTAGACTGGACGCTACTACTATCCACACTAAGAGCACTGGGACTGGGTCATTGCTGGATATGTTGGATCCAAGCTATATACTCCTCTCCTATTGCTCGACTCCGAATTAATGGCCAACTTTCAGATCCAGTTTACATAAGGAACGGGACAAGACAAGGTTGTCCCGCTCCTCTTTATCCTTATCCTAGAGCCTTTTCTGAATGGGATTAGAGACAACCCAAACATCCAGGGCATATCTGTCCAACAAGCGGAGTACAAAGTCTCCGCTTTCGCTGATGACCTTCTCTTTACCATCCAGGCGCCCGAATTATCAATACCTCCCCTGATGGAGGAACTTTCCATATACAATGCACTCTCAAATTTTCAGGTTAACTTCTCTAAAAGTAAAATATTACCACTGACGATGACCCTTCAGACGCGTACACTCCTCAAGTCCAAACTCCCCTTCACATGGGCGGACAAGTCCATTGTATACCTCGGTGTCTATCTATCAGCCAACTTAACGTCCAACTACGATCTGAACTACAAGCCATTATACCAATCTATCTCCAAGGACCTACAGGCATGGCAAAAAACACACTTCTCCTGGCTCTGTAAAATAAACATCCTCAAAATGAACACGCTACCGAAAATACTGTACCTCTTCCAAACCCTACCTATAGCCATTCCCAAAGCCTTCTTTGCCAATCTGCGAAGTCTCTTTACCTCATTCATCTGGGCGCATAAGCAACCCAGGCTCTCATATGAAGTGCTTACTAGACACAAGTCCTGTGGAGGCCTAGGGCTGCCCCACATGGAAAAATACTACAAAGCTACGATGCTAACAAGAGTATACGAAAGGTCCCAACACCCACCAAACCTCCAATGGACAAAAATAGAAACGGCTATATTTAAACTCCCCATCCATACGATCCCTTGGCAAAGGGCTCACCCCAAGCAGCTGCTCCTTGACCACGACACACCCCATGATACCTCCCACATCCAAGACATGGGATAGACATGCGTGAAAATCTCAACATATCCCCATACCCATCCCCACTACACCCAATCACCCACAACCCACACTTCCAACCGGGACTGATTGCCGCAAACTACCGAGGCTTCCGAGATACCTATGACCAGACGTACCTTACTCTAGGATCTATTCTAGATGGTGACTCACTTCATCCGCTACCAGACCTCATACACTCGTCTGCTCCATCTACAATGTAAACATTTCACTACGCACAACTACATCACTTCCTAAAGACAGACACAGGGGGACCAGACCACTCTCCGATTCTGAAACACATTGCAAAACCCGGAACATTAAAACTAAGCAGCTCTCGACTTTCTATAAAATTATCCAGATAGACCACGCTGCCCACCTACCTAAATTTACCATCTCATGGACCGAGGACCTTAACACACAATTCACGACAGCACAATGGACATCCATATTTAACAAAATACATAAAGCATCTATTTGCACCGCAATCCAGGAAAGCGGTTATAAGAGAATCTCCAGATGGCACTACTCCCCAGCTAAACTACACACGTTATTCCCCAACACCCAGATGTTTGCTGGAAATGTGCCCAAACAGGTGCGTCCCTGGTCCACATCTGGTGGCATTGCCCTCAAACCCAAAGATACTGGACAAACATAGGGACAATGATTACGACCGTAACAGGAATAAAACTTCCCCATACCCCACACACTCTGCTATTCCTGTTGCTGCCCCACACCCTCACCAACACACAGAAAAGACTTGTAACCCATCTCCTCACAGCAGCCAACATCCTCATTCCAGTAAAATGGAAAAACCCCTGTAACGGATCACTTGGCACCCCGACTGGGTACCTCCGTTGAAGGATGCTCCCAGCGCTTCCTGAGGACTCCAAGCACTGCAGCAGACACCACAACCACCGAACCGGAGAAGCATACGAATGCTCTCAAGAATATGAATGCTGTAAGCAGCTGAACAGGAAAAGCATACAATCAGCTTACACTCCTGGCAATCAGCATACAATCCAATTCCCCCAATAACGAGACGACACTTCGTTTTGAGGTCAGGCAGAACTGACTGTACTGGCACATACAGCCTCTTTTATTCCCAATCCACAAATTTAGTACTGCCCACAGGGTTTTACAGAACAACCAATCAATCTGTACAATACACACAGACACTCCCACACAAAATCCTCCCCTCTGCCTCTGAGAAATACAGTATCATAAAACACATCACAGGGACCCCAAAATATGCAATAACCCCACAAAATCCTCGGAACCGGGGGATCTGGGTGAACCACATATCCAAAATTCACCCAGATCCGTTCAGTAGTTTGGAAGATGCAGTTTAATGCAGATTCCGCAGAACATATACAGGCTTTATGCAAAATAATTACTGTATAATGTGTCCCCTGTTCTGTAGTTTATTTTATTTTTTGTTTTGTTTTTTTAATTAATTTTTATTGAAAATGTTTTCATATACAACAAATATACTACACCATGAGGTCAAATTCATAATATATATAGCAAATAAATAAATAAATAATAATAATAAATAATACATAATTACATATAATATTGAACATGTTTCATCAATATACATCGTCTAATTTACTTTAGTTTAAAACTACTGCACAATGTCTTTGTGCACCAAATACCGGCGAGATGGCACCGTGTAGAAAAGTCCAAACAGTGTGTGTGAGTTAAAATGGCCGCCATCCATTGTTCTCACCATGTGCTTCATCCATTGTTTTAACCATGTGCCTCTGATACATGAAATGGTGGCCACCCAGTAACTCCACAGTATGTCCCCATATGGTTCTTAAAGGGCCGGCAGCAGCCTAATAAAATACAATATGCCTAAATACTGTATTTAAAGGCCCAAATCTCCCAGGGGCCATAGTCAGCAGGCAGGAGGCGGGCAAACAGGCTTCTCCAATGCCCAGTGGCGAGGTTGGTTTCGCCACACTCTCACTTCAGTAAATACCCCTATTTGTGTCACAATGTGATTTATAGAACATTTTAGCTAATATATGTGGTAGGATCCATAAAACGTTCCCTTGGGCTGAAGATAAACTTAGCCGACATTTAGGGGGAAAAGCTTTTCTCATGAATGATTTTCTTTTTCAGTGTGTCTGTACACAAATGGCTATGACAGGCATAGAGAGTCTTTCATACAAGTGCCATAGTCATTTCTGAGCTTTTTTAGAAGGGAACTGTCAGCATCACTCTGTGAATAACACAATCATTTCAGAATCTATTTACAGGAGAACAAGCCACTAACCTCTACAAATAACATAGCAATTAATGGGTCTTCATATAGCGGAGGAGGCCCTGGCCTCTGTGAATACCGTAGCCATTTCTGAACCTGTCTGTTGGGAACAAAGTCCTGAGATTATTTACCATAACCATTTATGACACAGAAGTACAGGCCCTGTCGAATGTAAATGCCATAGCCATTTGTAAGCCTACATACATACTGCAAAGCCATTTTCTGGACTTACCTAACCTATATGGAAATAAAACCCACTCTCTGTAAATACCACCACCATTTCTAAATCTGTCAAAATGGGGACAGGCCCTGTGTCCTATGAATGCCATAGCCATTTCTGGGCTTACCAACAAGGATACTAACTTTGCACTCTGTGAACTTCTTAGCCATAAGTGGGCATTCCTAACCCATTAGGGAACAAGCCCTTGCCAGACATACTCTAGCCATGGCTAAGTCTGCCTGTATGGGAACAAGCACTTGCCCTCTGTGTGTGCCATATAGTCAAAGTTTCTATATTAGACTTCTAGGAGATTTCTAAATAATAAGATCATAGTAGAATCCTATGGTGTTCCAAATTCCAGAGACATCTCTCACATTCTCCCACATAACAAAGACTGCTAATCTCTGGCACTGCAGCTGCTGGACAATACTTTCTCTTTATGTTAAATCACACACCTGGCTGCCTGAGCATCATGAGAAGTGCAGTCCACCCTAGCTGCTATGTGAACAGTGAGGGCCAGGAGTGGTGCTTCTTGGGTTCTGAACAAGTCACATTATTCATGGTTTATATGAATTATAATGAGATTAACTTGGGTTTTACCATGAACAGTGACATGAATTAAATTTTCCTATTTTTGTATTTGCTTTTAGGAGCCAGACAAAGTTTATACAGAAAAGAGATCGCAGGTCACTCTCTCCTATTAATAACTACAATTTTCCATATTTTTATACACATCATCAATGAGATCAGTTTACTCTTAACAGGCCAAATACATAAAAAAAAATAAAAAAAAATAAAACTAAACCTGGAGATAATTATGAGGACAAGTCCCCTCTGTGAGGAGAGTATGCTAGCTTGCCCACAGTCAAAATGGCGGCCGCGCCCTCTGTAGAGCAGGGCTATCAGCTGGTTCCGCCAGTATCTCTTCCTCTGCTCCAATATGGTGGACGAGGCTACTCGCCGGGTGGTGTCTGAGATTCCCCTGCTGAAGACGGGGGCGAGTCCCAGGGATAAGGAGCTGTGGGTGCAGCGGCTGAAGGAGGAGTACCAGGCCCTCATTAAGGTGGGGACACTTTGCTGTCACTCAGAGGATCAACTCCTACAGCTGGGTAGCTGCTTGGGATGGATGCTGGGGTGTATGTTGGGGTGTATGGGGTTCAGGAGAGCATCACGTGGTATATGAGGGCACACTGACACAGAATGTGGCTCTGGAGAGTGTTCACAATTCAAGCTGTGTGAAAATATCTGCTGCTGACGTGTCACCTACTGCTGATGATGTCATCAGTGTCACCTGTACATCTGTCAACATTGGTGGCTAGTCTCTGCCCACCTAGTCTGCCCCTGTGCCAGCCCTCCAACCTGTGCTGTACCCAGGGCTGGTGCAAGGATTTTTGCAGCGCTAGGCAAAAAAAAATTTCAGCCCCATTTGCTACACTGACCCATGCAGGCTGACGCGCACCCACTGACCCGCACGCAGACTGAGGCGCACCCACTGACCCGCACGCAGACTGAGGCGTATGCACTGACCCACACGCACTGACCCCCTTCATACAAATAGTACAAACAGCCCACAAACACAACATCCCTGACAATCCACATACACACACACACACACACAACCCCAGAAGCAGCCCCACACATTAACACACAATATGATAAATCATTAAAATACACAATTCCACAAGCAACCCCTATGCACAGCCAATATTCGTAGGTTTCATACACCATACCTCAAACATATACATTATAACAGCCCACATACTCACAAATACAACATTACAAAACAACTGCAGCACCCATAAATAACACAATCACAATACAGCAACATATACACCACAATAAAAAAAAAAAATAGAACCTGCACACCAAGCGATTTCAAGATCTTGTTTTGGCACAGTACTACTAAAAGCTTGCCCTCCGCTGCCCTAGTGCCAGCCCTCTAATCTGTGCTGCTTGTCCTAGTGCCAGCCCTCTAATCTGTGCTGTGTGCCCTAGTGCCAAGGTAACGTGCCATCCCTCTAATCTGTGCTGTGTGCCCTAGTGCCAGGGTAACATGTGCCATCCCTCTAATCTGTGCTGTACCTGCCCTAGTGCCAGGGTAACATGTGTCATCCCTCTTATCTGTGCTGTACCTGCCCTAGTACCAGGGTAACATGTGCCATCCCTCTAACCTGTGCTGTACCTACCCTAGTGCCAGGGTAAAATGTGCCATCCCTCTAACCTGTGCTGTCTGCCCTAGTGCCAAGGTAACAAGTGCCAGCCCTTTAATCTGTGCTGTCTGCCCTAGTGCCAAGGTAACATTTGCCAGCCCTCTAATTCGTGCTGTACCTGCCCTAGTGATAGGGTTCTGTGCCAACTCTCTAATCTGTGCTGTCTTCCCTAGTGCTAGGGTTCTGTGCCAACTCTCCAATCTGTGCTGTCTGCCCTAGTGCCAGGGTAACGTGCCATCCCTCTAATCTGTGCTGCCTGTCCTAGTGCCAGGGTTCTGTGCAAGCCCTCTAATTTGTGCTGTACTTGCCCTAGTGCCAGGGTTCTGTGCCAACACTTTAATCTGTGCTGTCTGCCCTAGTGCCAGGGTAACATGCCAGCCCTCTAATCTGTGCTGTACCTGCTCTAGTGCCAAGGTTATGTGCAAGCCATCTAACCTGTGCTGTACCTGCCCTAGTGTAACGGACCGTTTTGCACACAAGAGGTTAAAAACCGTTTAGACTATGTTTCCCTTTCCAGATGCACCGACAGCTACTGTAAGCACCAATCTCCCGAACTGCAAACTACACAAATACTGGAAACAGCCTAACAGGAAAAGCCTACAATCCGCTTACACTTCTGTCAATCAGCATACAATCCAATTCCCCCAATAACGAGACGACACTTCGTTTTGAGGTCAAGCAGAACTGGTTTACTGCCCGTCTTTTATGCAGGTCTCCCACCTGGTGGACACTCCCCTAGGGGACCAGATGGGAAACTGGGAAACATATTGGACATTAACCAATCACAAGCTTACAATCCCACAATGCATCAAAATCCCTCCTCTCTGTCCTGGAGATAATTCGGAAGTAATACAATTATCTCCAAGGACAGAGGCAAAACTCCATTAACCACATGGTTACAATAAAACACTAAAATACAATAAAATACATAATGTTACATTTGGCACATAAAATATAGCTTAGATCTGAGCGCACATTACTACCGAATGGCGCTCAGATCACATACATACAGTTCAATCGCCATGGAGCCAAAGTTTTTCCCATAGTCTTTCGTTACACGAATAGGCTCCGTGGCATGGCTATCTGGGGTGATGCTGTTCATACGGTCAAACTACCGAATGAACAGTGATTTGGTTCCACTACCGAATGCAGAGGTAAGGAGGCTGGCGGCTCAGCGGTGTTCGCGCAAATAAGTGTCTGTTTTCAGTTCAATAGTTTGGGCGCTGAACACCGCTGGCCGTTCGGGAGTTAAAATGGCCGCTGCCACGTGTTTGGCAAACGAACAAAGGCTACCCAGCGTTCATCAATTAAGCTGCGGTTAACCGCAGCTTCTGGGTGGTCAATTGACGGCACACTCCAGTTCCCAGGTGGTCCATCGTTCGTTAATTTGTTCGGTAGTTTGATGTAACATTATGTATTTTGAACACCCCGGCAGAATGGCACGACTGTCTCCCCTTTCAATATTTTGTCCTGCTGCTGGGGTGCGAAACCGACGGTCTCTGCTCCCTGCAGGACACTCTGCCGCTGGGGAGGAAGAACGGTACCTTCAGCTCCCTGTAACACACACTGCCGTTGGGGAGGAAGGACGGCACCTTCAGCTCCCAGTAACACACACTGCCGCTGGGGAGGAAGGACGGCACCTTCCGCTCCCTGTAACACACCCTGCCGCTGGTGAGGAAGGACGGCACCTTCGGCTCCCTGTAACTCGCTCTGCCGATGGGGAGGAAGGACGGCACCTTCTGCTCCCTGGTGGTCCATCTTTCGTTACTTTGTTAGGTAGATTGAATCTACCGAACACCCTGGCAGAAAGGCACGAATAAACCTTTCAGCAGGGAAGATAACCGGTTTTAACTGCAGGGCCATAGTCTAAAGGGAGCAGTCGAGCAACCAGGCTTCTCCAGTGCACAGTGGCGAGGTTGGTTCCGCCACACCTAGTGCCAAGGTAACATGTGCCAGTACTCTAATCTTTGCTGTACCTGCCCTAGTGCCAGGGTAACATGCCAGCCCTCTAATCTGTGCTGTGCCTACCTTAGTGCCAGGGGAATATGTGCCAGCTGTAGCGAAACCGACCTCGCCACTGGGCATTGGGGAAGACTGATTGCCAGCCTCCTGCCATGTGACTATGGCCCCTGGGATGTATTGCACTTTAAAGACATTATTTGGGCCTATTGGATTTTTAAACACTTTTTCTGCCCCTTTGAATACATGAGATGGTGTGCCCCCCCCCCCCACCCGTTTCCTGTCGATTGTTCTCCAGCAGGGCGTTGTCCCAGGGACACTGCCAGACCAGTTGGAACTTGTTGCTATGGTTTAACCCCATGGTGATTTGACTGTGTTTGTGGCATCTGAGTGCTGTTCGGATATAGTGAGCACTCAGATCCAAGCTATCTGGGGATAGGTTGAATGTGAGGGTTCTGTTAAGTATGATAGGAATTATATATTTTTATGTGTTTTTACTGTTGTTGTGAATAGAGCTATTTTCTGTATGCTGGAGGTAATTGGCTTACCACACCCAAGCCATACTTGCAGGTGGTCACAAAGGGATTTCCAACTAACTTTGGACCCACTGGACCAATTTGTATGATTTTGACATATGTTTGTATTTGGAGTATGCTGATTCTGAAAATGCAAGTGAATGTGATGTATACTTTTATAGTTATGAATATTGTGTAAAACTGTATTTTCCTGCCTGTGATAATTAAGTTAGACCATTGTGTTCAGTAATTATATCACAGGCAGAGGGGAGGATTTTGTATGGCAGTGTCTGAGTGTATTGTACGTATTGATCAGTTGTTCTACAAAACACTGTGGGCAGTACTATGTGTGTAAAATGTGCATAAAAGCAGAGTGTTTGATTAACCCCTTGCTGTGATACTTTTTACTGTTTTAAAACACAAATATTTGTGTTCAGCAAAGTCTCCCGAGTACAACAGTACCCCTCATGTACAGGTTTTATGGTGTTTTCAAAAGTTACAGCGTCAAATATAAGGCTTGTGTTTCATTTTTTTCACATTAAACCTGCCAGATTGGTTATGTTGCCTTTGAGACCCTATGGTAGCCCAAGAATGAAAATTACCCCTATGATGGCATACCATTTGCAATAGTAGACCATCCAAGGTATTGCAAATCGGGTATGTCTTTTTTAGACCATTACCCTCCCAGGAATCTCTGAGGTGACCGGGGGCCCACGAAGTCCTCATACCGAATTTAGTTCCATAGTGGTCGTGGATAAGTACCGCTGAGGATTATTTGTGGGTTTTGTTCGTGTGAATGGCCGTCAGGGAGCTAGCGTTTGGTTCCATTCGACTGAAAGGGAAGTGCCGAACCAGGGGCATCAAGGGAAAGCTGCTAATGACGGTCCAAGAAGCATCTCATAGTTGAACGCGTGCCAATCATGTATTCCACGTAACTCCAGTTGCGATCCTTACAGGGGGCTGGCCTGGCGAATGCTTGCACAGGGTGCTATGTGTTCAATCATTTCAACCCTACTGCGCATGTCTTGATTTCATCATTGCGTTATTGGAATCAAAATTCAAATTGCTAGTATATTTAAAGAGCTGTTGTTGATTGTGCCCCATGTAGAGCTTTGATCCAGGACCTCTTGATTTTACATTTATTTCACCTGTTATTTAAATGTTTGTTTTTTTTTTTTTTGTTTGTTTTTAAACAGTATGTGGAAAACAACAAGAAAGCAGACAATGACTGGTTCAGAATGGAGTCTAACAAGGAAGGCACAAGGTAACCCTTCATACAGCTTCATCAGCTGCCTGCAGTGTGTGGCTGGATCTCTGGAAACCCAGTCACTGAAAGCGTTAGGGACTTATCCTTTAACATGGAAACTGTGTATTATTGATAAGGAAATATCACATTTTAGATTATAGATAGGATAAATAGCAGAGTTGACAATGTTTCCATTTTGGTCTAAAATCTGCAGTCACACTTTCTGATTTAGTGGATAAACCCCTTTGAGATTAACCATTGTCAAATCTGTTCCAGCTGCATGTGATATTCAATAAATTATTTTCATTTTACCGATCTCCACCATTACTAGTTTATAGTAAATGAAGATAAAGAAGCGAAGTCCAGTCAGAATGGTGTAAGAATGTAGTTTGGGAGTACAGTTACTGCACAGGACTCTAATAGAGAACATTTCTCTTAAAGGAAAACTGTCAGTTTCTATAGTCTTCCCTATTTCAGTCTCTGCACCGAAGCAGGGAAGACAATATAGACTGAATACAGAATGTGTATACCTGAAGGATATTGTCTGGTGCTGCAAAGGAGCTCTTTAAAGGGACACTATAGGCACCCAGACCACTTCAGCTCGGTGAAGTGGTCTGAGTGCAGTGTCCTAGCACCCATGTTTGGGATTAATACACTTTGCCTATATATGCATGAGGACATCCAGCGTCACAGAAATCCATTAGGTCTCCCCCGCTAGTTGACTTCCATGGGGAAGGAGAGAAGGCGGACCCAAGCCAGTGCCGAGGGACATCGCCATTGGACCCAGGTAAGTGACAGAATGGGTTATTAACCACTTGTGCCACACGGGGAGGGGCTTGACAGAGGGGGAAGCTACAGGACACTATAGTTTCCCTTTAATATCTCCTTCGGTAGAAAGGGAGCCCTTTATCCTCATGGATAAGTGGTTATTCAGGTCTCTATGGTTCAGGATATTATCCAACGTATCAATGCATGATCCTCGGAGGAGGCGAAACATGTGTCACATGTTCTTATGGCATACAGGTTCTGGTTGCTTTGTCAGTCTGGAGGAATAGTTCACCAAAATCTTGGGAACCTGACTGTTTAGAGGTTCCCTTGGTTTCAGACTTCTTCCCCATTCTGGCGAGACTCTGTTCCTCCAATTATTGGAGAAATTACACAATAAAAGGAGGTTTTACAGGCTTACTGTGTCAGAGCTTGACGGAAACACGTCGAATTAGCTCCGTGCCGCTTTGTAATTTTATTTTGTTGGTTTTACTTCATATATAAAAAAAAAAAAAAAATTACTAATCAGTTTCATTTCAATACTTGATGAATGCAACATTATTTTTAAAAGTATACTTTTGAGGTGACAGTGTCCTTTAAATCTGTAAGAATGGATATTTCTCAGGTCTCTCACGCTGCCATGGAGTTTATGGGCAGATCTAGAGCTGTTTTTATTATTTGCTTTAGTTTTTTTTTTTAGAAAAACAGCTAAAGTGCTCAGGGCCGGCGCTACCTGTTAGGCGGACTAGACGCCGGCCCCCTCATGCTGCAGCCGCCCGAGCGCTCTGTAGAGAGCCTCAGGCGGCTGCAGCTTTGTCCGCCCGGGCGCAGCCTGAGGAGAGGGGCTGACAGGAGGGAAGCGCTCAGCGCTCCCTCCTGTCACTCCCTCACTGTAGCGTGGCCGAACCCTGTATCATGGTCCGCGGGTACAGGGCGCATCTGTCTCCTGTACTTGGCCGGACTAACAGGAAGTACACACTGAGTGTTCACTTCCTTTTAGTCCGGCCGGGTACAGGAATCAAAAGCTCCCTGTACCCGTGGACCATGATACAGGGCTCGGCCATGCTACAACAGAGGTAGAGGGGGGAGGAGGGGCAGGGGAGGAGAAGAAATTGGCAGGGGAGAAGAAATTGGCAGGGGAGGAGAAGAAATTGGCGGGGAGGGAGAAGAAATTGGCGGGGAGGAGAAGAAATTGGCTGGCAGGGGAGGAGAAGAAATTGGCAGGGGGAGGGAGAAGAAATTGGCAGGGGAGGGAGAAGAAATTGGCAGGGGAGGAGAAGAAATTGACAGGGGGAGAAGAAGAAGAAATTGACAGGGGAGAAGAAGAAGAAATTGGCAGGGGGGGGAGAAGAAGAAATGGGGAGGGGGGGGAGAAGAAGAAATGGGGAGGGGGGGAGAGATTGACATCCATCACACACACACGCAATGCACCCCTTGCACACAGAAAAACACACAATGCATTACACACACAGACACACATACACAAGCAATGCAACCGTTACACACAATGCATCCCTTACACACACTCAATACACCCCTTACACACATTCAATGCACCCCTTACACACGCACACACTGCATCCTGTACATACACAGAAACACACCTTGCAGCCCTTACACATACAAACACAGATTCACACAATGCATTCCTTACACACACATCAGGACATCCCCTACACACTCCACCCCTGTGAACAAACTCATTGGTGGAACATGAAGGTGGACCCTGGGACCCAGACCTTGAGCTGTGTAAAGGGTCCCCAAGAAATGGAGCTGCTTCCCGTTCTCCCAGAACATTGATTTTTGTGACCACAGATACAAACAGCCTCCAGAGAGCCTGTTCTACACCAGACCAGTGGAGCCAGACTGCAGCCCATCATCATCCTCATCTGGTTGTAAGTAGGCAATCTAGTATATTATTCGTGGCACTAAGCTCTAATTTACCTCACATTAAAGAAACACTATAGTCCCCAGAACCACTGCAGCTTAATGTAGTTGTTCTGGTGTCTATAGCCTGTCCCTGCATGCCTTATAATGTAAACACGGCGGCACTGCAGCATTGGCGTTAGTTAACATGGCAGATCATATGGGTGGAGCATTGTGATGTCACATGGGGGGGGGGGACACAAACTTTACTTTTGCCTAGGGCCGCAAAAATCCTTGCACCGGCCCTGAAAGTGCTAGTGTTTGGGGAGGGTTGTAGTTTTATATATATATATAATTTATTTATTTATTTTTTTTTTTTTTAAACCATACACAAATACAAGCATGGTCTAGAAGTAAATCAAGTTTTGACACTCACAAAGTTAGCACATGGAACTGTAAGGATGCACAAGTCCAAACAGCAATGGGTTTTGGCTCCCCCTCTGTTGCAGTTCCATATGCTAACTGTGAGTGTAAACAAAACATGATGTGCTTCTAAACCACACGGAACGTGGTGTACTTTCTTGTTTCCGTAATAATTATACATTATGGTAAAGAGTTGCATGGAATAAAGATATTCTGTATTAAGTAAAACAGTGTTTAAACAAACATACAGCTGTTCAGATATTTGCATATGCCAGTTAATGAGCTTGCATACAGTAAAATTCCTCCTCCTTTTTTGTTTATTCCAGGTGGTTTGGGAAGTGCTGGTACATACATGATCTCCTGAAGTATGAGTTCAATGTTGAATTTGATGTGAGTCTTTAGTCCCTTTACTTAATGAAGCATTGGGTTAGTTTGATCTCGGTCACTTGGTGAATGTGATAGCATTCTTCTTTACTGCCAGATTCAGTGTATTTTCAAATTTGTGAGGCTGGGGCAAATTATTACATAATAAAAGGATTTTCTTTGTTTGCAGATCCCAGTGACCTATCCCTCCACAGCTCCAGAAATCGCCATTCCAGAGCTTGATGGCAAAACAGCCAAAATGTACAGGTACGGCTGGTGTTTGCTGGCAGGGTTTGTGAATGTGCAGTGTCTCTAAGTTTGCAGAACGAAGACTGTTACAGCAAAATGTTTAAACCAGTCAAATCCATTGTGTGCTAATCCATCATTAGATCAGAAGCACCAGTTTTAAAGCTCGTCAGATTGTTAGCGCTATATACCTAAACATTTTACTTTTTTATTTATTTGCTTTAGATCCCAGTGCTTCTCAGAGGTCCCACAGCTGTCCACTTGAATTTATCAGTCTTCTTTAAGCTTGTTAAAGGGACAATCCACTGCCCACCCCCCCAAAAAAAATTAATTCACTGCTTATTAGATATACCCTCCCAAATGAAAAACATGCATGCATTAAATTATGCATTTTTTTTTCATTGGAGTAGATTTAAAAAATGCCTGCAAAAATTGCATTTCTCTTGTCTAACTTTGCCAGCCCTTCTCTTCTTCCCCAGACTTTCTGCGGATGTCCAATCACAGACTTCCCAATGCAGCTCAGTGAGATATATTTGCAAGGCAGGTGCTCTGGGCAATTGCTGCCTCTTGGATTAAGCTCCAGTGAGCTAAACAAACCAGGAAGTAAAATAACGTATTTTCTGCTTGAAACCAGTGGTGTTTAACAAGGTTAATTTATGTATGAGCCAAAATATGCACTTTTGGTAAAATGAAAATAGACTTAATAGACTTTTCACACATAAAGCATTTCAAGATTTTTAAGATTCTCTCAACCGTGCAAAGCTAAAACTTTTAATCAATCCTCTTTTACTCTTTAGGGGAGGAAAGATCTGTCTCACAGAACATTTCAAGCCATTGTGGGCACGCAACGTTCCGAAATTTGGGTTAGCACATCTCATGGCATTGGGGGTGAGTATCAATTACAGGACAGTTTAACTCTTTAGAGATTTGGTGGCCAAAAAGCAAATCTTCCAACGAGCAAAGCATTATGGGAGATGTTCTGCAGCAGCGGGTCTACAGTTTGACCTTTCCTGCATTGAAGAATAGAAGAAGCAATTGTGTGGTACAAAATGTAAAAACCACTTGCACCATAATTCTATCTGTGGATCAAATTTCCTTGCAACAGTGGCATGTGTATAAAAGGAAATGTAGAGCTGCATGCTTCCCATTTATTAACCATGCACTGTCAAATTCTGTTTGCTAACTCTGATTTAATTAGTAGTTTGTTTTTTGTGAAACTTGACTTATGGCTTTGACCATGCTCGTTACAAAACCTTGCCTATGGTGGCTTCTAAACCATAGTGATTTGCAAAAATCAGTGCAGCTATAAAGTTAACTCTTCTTTTAAACATTTGTAGAGGATGTTAGTGGCTCCAGACTGACTGACTGAGCTATGTGCAGTGCTGAAAGTACACAGACACACAGAGCTTTACAACACAGCTGAACTGTCGCGTTCTGCTGCGGTGATTCTGAAACTGCAGCCAGCCTGCTAACTGCTAAAATCAGGAAAACCAGGCTACATTTAGTTATCAAAGTCAGCGGTGCACATAGCCCTTCAAATCCTGGGTCTGCTTCCAAGTTAAAGGAGACCCACAGGGTCTGAAAGGATCGGTGTGAGGTCAATCCACATGCCCCCTCTGCCCAGTGATCAGCACTGTGTTTTCTGAAAAAAAGGGAGGTGGACTTACTCTGCAGAAAGCTGCAATGTTTTTTAAAATTAGGATTTTAACATTTGTGCGTAACTTTGGTTGTTACATTTGTGTTTGTATTGCATTCACATCGTAAAGAGCTGCTGCAATTGTTTTTTTAATGTTGCATTAGAAATGAAGGTATGCACACTCAGTTATCTTTGTTTTTCAATCTTACACAGCTGGGTCCTTGGCTGGCTGTTGAAATTCCGGATCTGATCAGCAAGGGGCTTGTAGAACACAAAAACAAGTGATGAAGCGGTTTCAATAGATCATCCAGCAAGTCCGTGTGCCTCCAAAATAAATAGGAACTTTTATCTTTAAATATAAGGCTTTGATTCCAACATGGGATTGTGCCCATCATATCTGGTTACCACACCGTCTGTGTCCTTGTACAAGATGGAAAAGGGGAATATGCCACCATTTTAGTTAAAGAAATAATACAATTTTTTTCGTTTGGTCTGTCTGTATTTGACAATATTGTTATCATACCAAGCATAATTTTAAAAAAGAAATGACAAAACCCAAATAAATTGTTATTTAAAATTATGGGATAGGTGTTACAGAGGCTTTATTAGGTATGTTGCAGCAGTGCAAAAAAAATGTTATATGGTTTGATTTAATAAAAGCTGTGTGTCTTGTATGTGAAGATAGTTAATACATTCAGTGCCAATTAGCTGGGGATTTACATTTCACATATGTGACCTATAACACGTTCATTTAAAAAAAAAAAAAATGTAATTTTGATCGATTGCATTGCTAACCACTTGCATTGTGTTTGTTTGGGTTGTTCACTAAGATTGTGGATTTCAGGAATTTATATTTTATATCAAAATAGTCAAATAAGAAATATTTTCAATCCGCTATGGTTTTTAGTTTATTTAAAGGTCCACTCTAGGCACCCAGACCACTTCAGCTTAATTAAGTGTTCTGGGTGCCAGGTCCTTCTAGGGTTAACCCATGTTTTTATAAACATAGCATTTTCAGAGAAACTGCTATGTTTATGAATAGGTTAAGCCTTCCCCCAAAGACTCTAGCGGCTGTCTCATTGACAGCCGCTAGAGGCGCTTGCGTGATTCTCACTGTGAAAATCACAGTGAGAGCACGCAAACGTCCATAGGAAAGCATTGAAAATGCTTTCCTTTGCGACCGGCTGAATGCGCGCGCAGCCAGCTAAATGGGCGGAGAGGAGGAGGATCGGAGGCGGAAAGCTCCCAGCCCAGCGCTGGAGAAAGGTACGTTTTTACCCCTTTCCAGAGCCGGGTGGGGGCACCCTCAGGGCACTATAGTGCCAGGAAAACGAGTATGTTTTCCTGGCGCTATAGTGGTCCTTTTAAGCCTAAATGTTACTATGGGAGTGACCACCCCCCTTGACAATTCACCTTTTACTGTATAACTGTGTATGGGATGGGTAATTTGGGTCACTTTTGGAGGCTGGCTATGGCAATCTAATGGCTAAAACCATAAACATATTTAGTTGAGAACTTTCTAAAGCATTGCTTATACACTAGATCCAGCTTTTTTTTAACTTTTACAACTCCTGTGATTCTGTGGACATCTGTTTTCAAAGAATTCTGGGATTTGTATGCCATCAACATCGAGGGATGGGAGTAGTTTGAGATCCCTGGTGTTTCTCATGGTCAGCTTCTGCGCAGAAGGTAGGAAATTTTGCCTACATTAAAGATGGCTGTCCTGTAGCATCCCCAACAGCGGGTGTTGTCATTTTCCTGGATCCGTCAGGGATCAGTTTAAAGGAACACTATAGTCACCTGAATTACTTAAGCTAAATAAAGCAGTTTTAGTGTATAGATCATTCCCCTGCAATTTCACTGCTCAATTCACTGCCATTTAGGAGTTAAATCACTTTGTTTCTGTTTATGCAGCCCTAGCCACACCTCCCCTGGCTATGACTGACAGAGCCTGCATGAAAAAAAAAAATTGGTTTCACTTTCAAACAGCTGTAATTTACCTTAAATAATTGTATCTCAATCTCTAAATTGAACTTTAATTACATACAGGAGGCTCTTGCAGGGTCTAGCAAGCTATTAACATAGCAGGGGATAAGAAAATCTTAATTAAACAGAACTTGCAATAAAGAAAGCCTAAATAGGGCTCTCTTTACAGGAAGTGTTTATGGAAGGCTGTGCAAGTCACATGTAGGGAGGTGTGACTAGGGTTCATAAACAAATGGATTTAACTCCTAAATGGCAGAGGATTGAGCAGTGAGGCTGCAGGGGCATGTTCTATACACCAAAACTGCTTCATTAAGCTAAAGTTGTTCAGGTGACTATAGTGTCCCTTTAACCTCAATTTCATGTACTGCGCATGCATGCGACCACACACCCCTCCAGACGATTTATGTACTAGTAATAAAACTCAATTTCTCTATGTTTAATCAATATATTAATAATTGTATTCAGCACATAATAAAAATGGGGAAATTGATGTTTATTAATAGTACATAAATAATCTGGAGGTGTGTATGCGCAGAACATAAAATTGTGATAAAACAGCTCGTAGTGACAGTCCAGATTTCTGACTGGTTTACGAAAATTAGAGCACAATGGCTGCTGGCGATGCTACTGGACGGCCATCTTTAATGTGGGCAAAATCTCCTTTATACTTAACACAAGCGGACTAAGACAAACACCTGGGATATCAAACTCTGCCCCTCCATGATGATGGCATACAACTCCCAGAATTCTTTGAAAGCAAAAGATGTCCTCAGATTCATGGGAGTTGTAGTTCAGCAACACCTGGTGTGCCATGGGTGTGAGATCTGTGCCCCAATCAGTTTTCATACATGCATTGATGAGGACATGGCTCCAGTAGCAGAGGGACCAGCATTATATAAGAGCATTGTGGAAGCTGGATTCAGTGTATTTAGAAAGCTGAGTGAGAATTTTTCTGATTTGACTATTTCTGTCTGAGATCGGTGTTGCTGGCATGGATTAGCACGGTCTGTATGGCTTCACACTCTCCCTGGTAACCGTTGTCAGGGCTGGGCAGGGTCTCGCCAGATCTAGCGCATGCGCACTGTGCTGGCTGAGGCAGAAAGGGGAAGGGCAAGATGGCGCTCAGTACTGCTGTTGCTATGAAGCCAGGGAGGGGTAGGCCGTGAATCCAACACAGCCCGGAGCTAAGTATTCAGGTAAGACCTATCGCCGGTATATCGGGGGCGGGCGGGAGGCTCCGTGTGAGAAATGTAAACACTGACTGACTGACTGTGTATATAGCTATCATATACTGACTGACTGTGTGTATAGCTATCATATACTGACTGACTGTGTATATAGCTATCATATACTGACTGACTGTGTGTATAGCTATCATATACTGACTGACTGTGTATATAGCTATCACATACTGACTGACTGTGTATAGCTATCATATACTGACTGACTGTGTGTATAGCTATCATATACTGACTGACTGTGTGTATAGCTATCATATACTGACTGACTGTGTGTATAGCTATCATATACTGACTGACTGTGTGTATAGCTATCATATACTGACTGACTGTATATAGCTATCATATACTGACTGACTGTATATAGCTATCATATACTGACTGACTGTGTATATAGCTATCATATACTGACTGACTGTGTATATAGCTATCATATACTGACTGACTGTGTATATAGCTATCATATACTGACTGACTGTGTATATAGCTATCATACACTGACTGACTGTGTGTATAGCTATCATATACTGACTGACTGTGTGTATAGCTATCATATACTGACTGACTGTGTGTATAGCTATCATATACTGACTGATAGCTATCATATACTGACTGACTGTATAGCTATCATATACTGACTGACTGTGTGTATAGCTATCATATACTGACTGTGTGTATCTATACTGACTGACTGTGTATATAGCTATCATATACTGACTGACTGTATATAGCTATCATATACTGACTGACTGTGTATATAGCTATCATACTGACTGACTGTGTGTATCTATCATATACTGACTGACTGTGTATATAGCTATCATATACTGACTGACTGTATATAGCTATCATATACTGACTGACTGTGTATATAGCTATCATATACTGACTGACTGTATATAGCTATCATGTGACTATATAGCTATCATATCTGACTGTGTATATAGCTATCACATACTGACTGACTGTGTATCTATCATATACTGACTGACTGTATATAGCTATCATATACTGACTGACTGTGTATATAGCTATCATATACTGACTTTTGTGTGTATAGCTATCATACACTGACTGACTAATGTGTAGCTATATACTGGCGGCTATTAGCCTCTATCATATACTGACTGACTGTATATAGCTATCATATACTGACTGACTGTGTATATAGCTATCATATACTGACTTTGACTGTGTATATAGCTATCATACACTGACTGACTGTGTATCTATCATATACTGACTGACTGTATATAGCTATCATATACTGACTGACTGTGTATATAGCTATCATATACTGACTGACTGTATATAGCTATCATATACTGACTGACTGTATATAGCTATCATATACTGACTGACTGTGTGTATAGCTATCATATACTGACTGACTGTGTATATAGCTATCATATACTGACTGACTGTGTGTATAGCTATCATATACTGACTGACTGTGTATCTATCATATACTGACTGACTGTGTGTATAGCTATCATATACTGACTGACTGTGTATATAGCTATCACATACTGACTGACTGTGTATCTATCATATACTGACTGACTGTGTGTATAGCTATCATATACTGACTGACTGTGTGTATAGCTATCATATACTGACTGACTGTGTATATAGCTATCACATACTGACTGACTGTGTATCTATCATATACTGACTGACTGTGTGTATAGCTATCATATACTGACTGACTGTGTATATAGCTATCATATACTGACTGACTGTGTATATAGCTATCATACACTGACTGACTGTGTGTATAGCTATCATACACTGACTGACTGTGTGTATAGCTATCATATATTGACTGACTGTGTATATAGCTATCATATACTGACTGACTGTGTATATAGCTATCATACACTGACTGACTGTGTGTATAGCTATCATATACTGACTGACTGTGTGTATAGCTATCATATACTGACTGTCTGTGTATATAGCTATCACATACTGACTGACTGTGTATCTATCATATACTGACTGACTGTGTGTATAGCTATCATATACTGACTGACTGTGTATCTATCATATACTGACTGACTGTGTGTATAGCTATCATATACTGACTGACTGTGTGTATAGCTATCATATACTGACTGACTGTATATAGCTATCATATACTGACTGACTGTATATAGCTATCATATACTGACTGACTGTGTATATAGCTATCATATACTGACTGACTGTGTATATAGCTATCATATACTGACTGACTGTGTATATAGCTATCATATACTGACTGACTGTGTATATAGCTATCATACACTGACTGACTGTGTATCTATCATATACTGACTGACTGTATATAGCTATCATATACTGACTGTGTATATAGCTATCATATACTGACTGTGTATATAGCTATCATATACTGACTGACTGTGTGTATAGCTATCATATACTGACTGTGTATAGCTATCATATACTGACTGACTGTGTATATAGCTATCATATACTGACTGACTGTGTATATAGCTATCATACACTGACTGACTGTGTATCTATCATATACTGACTGACTGTATATAGCTATCATATACTGACTGACTGTATATCATATACTGACTGTGTATATAGCTATCATATACTGACTGACTGTGTATATAGCTATCATATACTGACTGACTGTGTATATAGCTATCATATACTGACTGACTGTGTATATAGCTATCACATACTGACTGACTGTGTGTATAGCTATCATATACTGACTGACTGTGTGTATAGCTATCATATACTGACTGACTGTGTGTATAGCTATCATATACTGACTGACTGTGTGTATAGCTATCATATACTGACTGTGTATATAGCTATCATATACTGACTGTGTAAATAGCTATCATATACTGACTGACTGTGTGTATAGCTATCATATACTGACTGACTGTGTGTATAGCTATCATATACTGACTGACTGTGTATATCATATACTGACTGACTGTGTATATCATATACTGACTGACTGTGTGTATAGCTATCATATACTGACTGACTGTGTATATAGCTATCATATACTGACTGACTGTGTATATAGCTATCATACACTGACTGACTGTGTATCTATCATATACTGACTGACTGTATATAGCTATCATATACTGACTGACTGTATATAGCTATCATATACTGACTGACTGTATATAGCTATCATATACTGACTGACTGTATATAGCTATCATATACTGACTGTGTGTATAGCTATCTGTGTGTATAGCTATCATATACTGACTGACTGTGTGTATAGCTATCATATACTGACAGACTGTGTGTATAGCTATCATATACTGACAGACTGTGTGTGTATAGCTATCATATACTGACTGACTGTGTATAGCTATCATATACTGACTGACTGTGTATAGCTATCATATACTGACTGACTGTATATAGCTATCATATACTGACTGACTGTATATAGCTATCATATACTGACTGACTGTATATAGCTATCATATACTGACTGACTGTATATAGCTATCATATACTGACTGACTGTATATAGCTATCATATACTGACTGTGTGTATAGCTATCATATACTGACTGACTGTGTGTATAGCTATCATATACTGACTGACTGTGTGTATAGCTATCATATACTGACTGACTGTGTATATAGCTATCATATACATACTGACTGACTGTGTGTATGTATATCATATACATACTGACTGTGTATGTATATCATATACATACTGACTGAGTATGTATATCATATACATACTGACTGACTGTGTATGTATATCATATACATGCTGACTGACTGTGTATGTATATCATATACATGCTGACTGACTGTGTATGTATATCATATACATGCTGACTGACTGTGTGTGTGTATATGTGTGTGTGTGTGTATATATATATATATATATATATATATATATATATATATATATATATATGTATCACATACTGACAGACTGTGTATATATCTATCATATACTGACTGACTGTATATAGCTATCATATACTGACTGACTGTGTATATCATATACTGACTGACTGTGTATATAGCTATCATATACATACTGACTGACTGTGTGTATGTATATCATATACATACTGACTGACTGTATGTATATCATATACATGCTGACTGACTGTGTATGTATATCATATACATGCTGACTGACTGTGTATGTATACTGACTGTGTATGTATATCATACATGCTGACTGACTGTGTATGTATATCATATACATGCTGACTGACTGTGTGTGTGTGTATATATATATATATATATATATATATATGTATCACATACTGACAGACTGTGTATATATCTATCATATACTGACTGACTGTGTATATATATATATCTATCATATACTGACTGACTGTATATATATATATATATATATATATATCTATCATATACTGACCGACTGCCATACTCACCCAGAAACATGGGCTGATACAGAATCATACAGAATGATAAATACAGCAACAACTGGACTCACAGCATATACTGACTCTGTGTGTGTGTACAGCATATACTGTGTATACATCATATACTGACTGACTATGTATACAGCACTGACCTTATATACAGCATATACTGACTGTGTATACAGCACTGACCTTATATATAGCATATACTGACTGTGTATATATACAGGATTGAACGTTAATATACATCAGACTATACAAAGTACTGACCTTGTATACAGGACAGACCGCGAATATACTGCACAGACTGACCCTATAAACAGCACTGAATCTTAATGTACAGCACTGACCGTGAATATACAGCACAGACTGACAATATATCCAGCACTGAATGCGTATATAAATCACATACTGACCGCGAATATACAGCACAGACTGACATTATATACAGCACTGAATCTTAATATACATCACTGTCCTTATGTACAGCACTGACCGCTAATATACATCACATAGACCTTATATACAGGGCTGACCACTAATATACCTCATATAGACTCTATATGCAGGATACAGGACTGGCTGCTAATATTCATCATATAGATTCTATAAATAGGACTGACACCTAATATACATCCCATATAAAGTGCTGACCCCTAATATACATCACTTAGACTCTATATACAGGACTGACTACTAATGTACATCACATAGACAGGACTGACTCCTATTCTATATTGCATAACCAGGATTGGCAGCCAGGGGTGATTATTTCTGATGACTTAAAGGTAGGCAGACAATGTAATAGAGCAGCAGGAAATGCTAGCAGAATGATTGGTTGTATAGGGAGAGGTATTATCAGTAGGAAGAGGGAAGTGCTCATGCCATTATACAGAACACTGGTGAGACCTCACTTGGAGTATGGTACACAGTACTGGAGACCGAATCTCCAGAAGGATATTGATACTTTAGAGAGGATTCAGAGAAGGGCTACTAAACTGGTTCATGGATTGTGGGATAAAACTTACCAGGAAAGGTTAAAGGATCTTAACATGTATAGCTTGGAGGAAAGACGAGACAAGGGGGATATGATATAAACATTTAAATACATAAAGGGAATCAACACAGTAAAGGAGGAGACTATATTTAAAAGAAGAAAAAACTACCACAACAAGAGGACATAGTCTTAAATTAGAGGGACAAAGGTTTAAAAATATCAGGAAGTATTACTTTACTGAGAGGGTAGTGGATGCATGGAATAGCCTTCCAGCTGAAGTGGTAGAGGTTAACACAGTAAAGGAGTTTAAGCATGCGTTGGATAGGCATAAGGCTATTCTAACTATAAGATAAGGCTAGGGACGAATGAAAGTGTTTAGAAAATTGGGCAGACTAGATGAGCCGAATGGTTCTTATCTGCCGTCACATTCTATGTTTCTATTGACTCCTAATCTATATCGCATAGCCAGGATTGAGTCCTAATATACATCACATAGACTCTATATACAGGACTGGCCACTAATATACCTCCATTATTATTATTATTATTATTATTATTATTATTATTATTATTATTGGTATTTATATAGCGCTAACAAATTCCGTAGCACTTTACAATATTATTGGAGAGGGAGATTTATCAATAAATCAGACAATTACAAAAACATGCAGGAACTATATGATGAAGAGGACTCTGCTCAAACAAGCTTACAGTCTGGGGTCACATAGACTTTTGTAACAGGACTCAACCCTAATATAAATCACATAGACGCTATATACAGGACTAACCTCTAAAATACAACACACAGACCTTTCATACTTGATTCACACCTGACACTAGCCATAGAAATATTACGTGCAAATAAATACTTTGTTTGTACAATAGAGACATATTATGTGCATGATTGACCCCAAAAACAAACCAGGAACCTTTATAAATGGTACTAACCACCAATAACAAACAGTTTTTATATGCACTCCTGGTTTCCAAATTATACCACATATAAGGTTATTCACTAAAAAGCATTACATTTCAAATTTAAAGAAATATTCCAGGTACCATAGCTTCTTCATCAAAATGAACTTGCAATGGTGCCAGGAGGTCCCTGGCGCTGGCTCACCTTTAGATGTCTGTGTTCCAGTGTCGGATCAACTCTGTCCCCCTGACCTCCCATTATCTGAGATATGAGATAATGGAAGGCTCAGGCAAGGGCATAATATTTTAATGAAGGGGAAGGTACTGATTAGCTTAAAACGTGAGCTGACCACTCCAGCCCGATGCAGTACGTGCCTGTTGTTGTTATGGTGCCAAAACTGGTCCTATACGTTTAAAATAATCAGACCTTAAAAATTTCTCTAATTCAGCTATCCTGTCAGTTTGGTTACTCCAGCCTTAAATTTGAAATTCACTTTGAATTCTCACTTTAGTAACACATTCTCAACAGGATTAGTGGGGATGCCGTTAAAATACTTGTGCCGTGTACAAATGGATCTGCAGAATTCGCTTTGCTTATAATATCTAGATCCCTAGGTTAGTGAAGCATTGGCCTTGGTTTCTGCCAACACCGCTGGGGTTGCAACAACCCGGGAGACGGTGAATGGGGGAGGAATCCCACGGGATGAGATTTTTACTAATTGTGTTTATTTAAAGACTGAGTTTACTGCCTTATCACTGTGGAGTATCTATCCTCTTTTCACAGACTGCAGCAATGTGAGGAGTGGGAGATAAACAGGCTGACTGCAGAGTCCCCGCAATGAGGTACGGGCATGGGTACAAAGTGTGAAACTGCTGTAAGGAAATTACAAGAGGGGCCAATAACCCCTTTATACTTGAAGGGGGGAGACCAAGTACTGCTTTCACAGTGTCCCCGATCCTTCAAACCTTTGTGTATTTGAACAGAAATGTTCATGTTAAAAAATATTAATAATTCCTTTAGGTTTTGCACTAAATGCTGCTTTCCCATGTTTAGAGAAGCAGCATTTGGAAGATGCAACCAATATAGCATGCTCAATTTCTTCCTTATCTTGACAATGTCTTAACACGCATGGCATTTTGGGAGTTTGTATTGGCTATAGGGTTTCTATGGAGTCAATGCAGGCAGTTGATTGCTTAGTTTCTTGGCTAAAGAGCTGCACAGTCAGACCAGAACTTTTATTTTGCTTAATAGTTTCACTTATGCCTAATTGCACCTCACCTGTATCTGATCAATTAGCTAGCAGGCTTTTAAAAAGAAGGGATCAGCATGCTGCAGAGTGAGGAGGAAAAGCTAGAGGAATGGTGTCTTGCAGTTATACGTTTTGTAAATTGGCAAGTGGAAAAAGCCACCCAATTCCAGATAGGGATTTGCTGTGTATAGTAAGTGCTCATGCAAGAGCAATGAATTTTATTTTGTTAATTTTTTATTTTGAAACACCTGTATATATATTTCACCGAATAAATCTGAAAAACTGAGCTGGATGTGTCTTGGACTTTCATTACCCTAGAATGCTGTGGTTACAGGATCTGTGACAAAATACTACCTGGAAAAGAGGTGGTGTGTTACACTATATATATATAAAAAAGCATGTAAGACAAGGTATTTTTGTTTTGATGAAACATCGACTTTTTTTTATTTAATAAAGCTTTTTTTTTGAAAACCCAGAGTGCTGGCCTTTGGAATTTTTATATATACAAGTGTTGCTGAACACTGGGTATTCTATGCTTTAAAAGTTGGAGTGCAAGGCTTATTGGATAAAAAATATATATATATTTTATATATATAATTTTATATGTGTCCTGATGAAAGCTCCGATCGGGAGCTGAAAGTTGACATCTCTGGATTAACTAAGAGTAAATCGGATGAACAAAACCTAGATATATTTTATGTCTCCAAAATATGTGGTTCAAAGCAGAACCATTGGATCAGGAGTGGGGAGACTCTTCCAGCGAAAGAGTAAAGGTTAGTTTAATTTTAACCATTTCAGTGCCAAAATAGAGTATGCGTCCGTATTCTAAAGACTTTAAGGAGCATACCAATAACATATATATATATATATAATTTATTTTTATTTTATTTATTTTTTTATTTTATTTCAGTGTTTGTTTTGGCAATTGATATAATGTCAAGGGCTGTATGTAGTAGCGGTTACCCAGGGGTGAAACTCACACTAATGTGGGTCAGGTTTGGGACAGTATGATATTAGGAGGCCCACACTATGTATCATTCCCGACAGCCTGTGTCAGTTTCGACTTATGTGCAGAGACATGCACTGACAGTCTCTGCACATACAACTTGTACTGATGTATTGAGAGGTGTTCTGATAGTCGCTGCATACAGCCTGTTTTTTCTGAAACTGATACCAGCCAGTTTCATTTTTAGATGGCAAGTTAAGATAATATGTGCTTAAAACAAATAAACCCAACACGTGGTGTGGTTTCGCTCAGCTGTTCTGTTTCTTGCGAAATCTCACAGCCTGAATCTGTTCCCAAAGCCCTGCTGTCTGTTTGTTCAGGGTGCCTGTTGCTGTCCGTTCAGGATGCATGTTTGAAGCGTTTTCCAATGATCTAGGATAATATCCTTTTTGACCCCAGAAAGGCAGTCAGATCTCTCCTTGGATCAAAAAGCTATTACCCCACAGATTAAAATTGATATCCCTGAATTGTTCAAACATCAGCTGCTGCCTGTTTGCCTGATCAATAATCCCATTAGGTATTTGCAATCCTGCACTTTTCGCCAGGTGTAGCATTTCCATGAGACACATTTAGGGGTACCAGAATTTCTACTCACCAGGCTAAATTTTAGATCACCAATGGCGACTGGAAATCCACTGTTGCCTGATTTTGTTTTTTACGGGTTGCCTGCTGGTATCTGATTTGTTCAGGATGCCCACAGCTGTCTGATCAGGTATATCCCTCGCCTTTTGTCCAGGATGCCCACGGCTGTCTGATCAGGTATATCCCTCACCTTTTGTCCAGTGGGCCCTCTGCTGTCTATATGTTCAGAATGTCTCCTGCTGTTTGGTTTGTCAGGATGCAAACCTCTGCCTGGTTGCTCTGTATGACTGTTACTGTCTGCTTGCTTGTTTATTTGATCAGGATGCCAATGAATGAAAATCGTGATCATTCCATGGGAGTACACCTGCCTTCGTTGGGAAAGTAAATAAACATTTACATGTCAATGAGTTATAGGTGTTCATCAGCTGTTTCACATACCTTACAACTTCCAGCAGATGCAGCTAAACTGTCTTGCAGTGCTAGTACATTCTCATTATCCTGTTAGTCGTTATTTACATACACTTACTGTCTCTTTATCCAGGTAATGCTGCTAATCTATTCCTCATACACTGTGGGCGTCCTGATTTATGTCCTTCAAAACTAGAAATATTAAAATGTGCCAATCCTGGCAAAATACATTGTTATGATTATTGATATTATTGTTAGTCTAATCCTCCCCCTCCCACTGCCTTCTGGTTTTCATTGTGGCTGAAAGTGAGCAATGCCACAGATTGTGATAGCAGATAACAGCCAATTGGCCTCACTCCTCCAATTCCCTAAGTAAAATCACAGGATTTATTCCTGATTATGTTTCTTGCTCAGAAAATCATTCCTAAGCTTTCTTCAACTCTTCCAATATTTTAGTTTCTGCCACTTCTTCTAGAAGGCTTTTCCTTGAATCTACTACACATTGTAAAGCATTTCCTGATCACCTAATTGTCCCTCTTGCTGGCTTCAAATTATAACCTAAATTTGTTGGTTAATTCTGCTTTCTGTTAACATTTTGGGTTTGTATTTTTTTCTTTTGTGGCTAACAGATGCCTCTTTTTTTTTTTTTCTTTTTTCACAGAGTTCCTCTTTCTATAAGACCTAAGATGCCACAAGTTTGTGAGGCCAGGATTGTTAGGGGAAAGGACACAACCGTTATCACCACTCAACCCAAACCAGCAGGAAAACTCCTAAGCTCTCATCGCACAGTAAGTCAGGAACGACAGAGCTCAGCATATTCCACAACCGTCTTCAGTAATGGAGTACTCCCTGCTCAGAAGCTCCGTCCCCTTCCTCCAAGGCCAATCGTGGAGGACAAGGTGAAGACCACTCGAGGTCGTGCTGCACAAAGGACAGAGACTTCAAGTTCTGCAACTAAGAAAGGCCCTATGAAGGGCATCCACACGCTCAAAATTGCACACTCCTCTACCACCAATAATGTATCAACTCCACCTCTTCAGCAACGGGCAGGAGGCCTCTCCCGCTCCAAGTCTGTGAGTTACGGAGACCTGAGGCTATGCACAGACAAAACAGATGAGATCACCAATGGTCTAGCTCGGGTGGAGGTCAGAGAGCGGAGCTCATCATCAAGCAGGAAGCCCCCTTTAGACCCTGCTGTTTTAAAAAGAAGCAGTTCACTGAAAAGACTCAATGTGATGCCCACGGAGGACATGCAGTTGAGGCATGTCAATCAAGCTCTGCGATTGTTCAGAGCAGACATTTCCAGCAAGACAACTCCCATTAAGATTGCAGATGGCAAGAAACCATCTCTGGCCTCGAGCCTACCTACCACTGTAGCCCCCATCTGCAATGGTATTACATCACAGGACAAAAGCCAGACTGTTGCAACTCCAGTAAGTGCAAACCTCTCTAGTAAATCTTCTTCTAAGCTGTGAAAATAATCTGGTGCTCCATATAATTAAGTGTCACAAATATAAATAATTCCATCCCATAATGTGAATTTGGATGTCCTAGTTTTCATTCGACAGGGTTACAATGTTCCTTTTCGCTTTTAGTGAGTGTATAATTCAGAAAAAAACTCATTATAATGTCATACGCTTGTCACTTGCACAATGTCTTGTCATTCTTTCTTTTTTTTTCATGAATGAGACCCGTTTGTGGCCAAAGTTCCATAAAAGGACCCTCCAAGCACCATAACCACTTTCTTTCATCCTATATGTTGCTGTTAATCTATAAGGCCAACACATCTCTTCTATAAAATCACAGGATTCTCTTAATATTTTACAGCATGTTCATGCCGTACATATTCCACTTGTACGAGCTTTCTTATGCAGTAGCTGTCTAAGGGTTAGATTCTATTAAATGAGATAGGGATAGCTCTGGTACCCAAAGCCATTTATCCCACTAATGTCAATGGGAGAACTGCTGCTCAGTTACCAGAAGTAAGTTTGTGTAATTTGACAGAATTCAGCTCTATGTGAGTACCTAGTCAGGATCATTGCATATACGTCAGTTAAAGTAGCTTAATTTCTGGGGGAAAATATTACAAAAATTTTTTTTGAAAGGTAAAGGGACACTATATGCACCAAAACAACTTTAGCTTAATTAAGAAGTTTGGTGTATAGCCCCTGCAGTCTCACTGCTCAATTGTCTGCCATTTAGGAGTTAAATCACTTGCCACACCTCCTTGTCTATGACTTGCAAAACTTTAGTATACACTTCCTGTAAAGAGAAATCTAATGTTTACATTTCCTTTAGTGCACATTCTGTTTAATTTAGAATTTCTTATCTTCTGCTCTGCTAGTAGCTTGCTTGACGTTTCAGGAGCCTCCTGTATGTGATTAAAGTTTAATTTTACAGCACAGGAGATATAAACATTTAAAATAAGTCGCATCTGATTGAAAATGAAACCATTTTTTTCATGCAGGCTGTGTCAGTCACAGGGGAAATGTGACTAGGGCTGCATAAACAGAAACAAAAGTGTTTTAACTCCTGAATAGCCACAAGTTGAGCAGTGAGACTTCAGAGGCATGATCTATACACAAAAACTGTTTAAGCTAAAGTTGTTTTGGTGACTATAGTATCTCTTTAATGGTAATTTTCCACAAAAAAAACACCTGCTGTCTGTACTTTTGGGTTCAAAAACTGAAAACAATGGGAGGACATGGATTGACTAGGAATTCACAGCTGCAGTCTTACTACAAGGAATACACTGAGTATATTATTATTTGTATTCTCCTTTATTGCATTTAAAGATGATGAATGAATTCATTAAAAGAGAGGTCAACTACAGGAAAATATGCTACTATTTAAACATTTTTGATTTTGGACTGCCCGTATGGGTGGGACCAGTCTGATATGCTTCAGAGATGTTCTCTCTGTAATGGCACAAGATGAGCTAAAACCAGCTTGAGTTCTGAGCGGGGATCCAACGAAGGGCAGGCTATTTCAGTTGCTGCCCGTTGTCAGAATACTCTTGTGACTCGTTTTTTGCTCTATTTAAACATTTTACTTGATTCTCTGTGCAGCTGTGTCTTTGTATACTATGTATGCATTGGCATGGTCAACTAGGATTAAGGCACATAATTCACAACGTGGGCCAGGGACCCATGCTACTATGTTGGGACTCTATTTTCTACTCCCTCCTCCTCTGAAGATCTCCCTGGAGAAAAGCAGTGTGACACTGCAGCTAATTAATCCCCAGGAGATGAGCTTGCAGAGACACCTAGAATAGTCTTGAGAAAAATCCGATGAGAGAGGATGAAGCAGGGAGACCTAGAGTAAGAGATTGGAGAGGGTGTCCCATTAAGCCTCGTCATTGCCAGGAGGGACGCCGTTTGTAGAGGACAGGCAGGCAGTTCTGCAGATCCGCATCATGCCTGGGTTGCAGGGAGCCAATTTGGTGGAATTACCCCAGAAACTGCAGCATAGACTTGCTGATAAGAAGGAAGGTCAAGGAATGAAGGCAGACATCTCTGAATCGGTTGTGCACACGGCTATGATGGGCCTTCTGCTAATGACAAGCGAGGTACCGTACACATTACAGCTGATATCAACTGCCGAAAACATTTTAGAGAAAATGTATAATTTTTACCAACCTGCTTTTTCAGTATTGTCGTTCAGGACCAGCTGTAGTTTGACGTGTGACTGTTGCCTGTCTTTAACCTGTTCGAGTATAGAGTATTTTTTATAAACACACTAAATAGCACTTTATATGATCTGTTCTTCGGCTAAGCAAAAAAAAAGAAAAATAAATTTTCTTTCTCTTGGTTACTTGTAGCCACCACGGATTCCTGTCCTTGGCACCGGACGCATTGGTCTTCGGAATTTAGGCAACACAGTAAGTATATTTACCTTACGTAATGTTTACAGGGTATTTTTTTTTATGAAGGTCTGACTCTTTAGAAATTCTAATTTAAATTTGTCTGGAAACAGCCAACTTGGAGAATTTTTCTAATTTAGCTATTTTACTTCCATAAAATAGTGAATACATGTGTTTCTCTTTACTGAATAACAGTATACACAGTGGTTATCGTCCTGATTGTAACTATAAAAGAGGAATATTTGAACTGGGTCCACAATGTCTTGTAATGGTATGACATCCTCGTTTATTGTCTGATGAAATGAAAGCATTTAATCACAATTTCCATACAACATTAATCTACACAGCTCATCATATCACTGTATACATTAGGATATTTGAAGACTTTTTTGGAGATCAATAAAACTAGAAAATATATTTTTAAAATTTCCCATGGCTGTGTTTTTCTGTTTTTAATATTTCTTGAAGTCATTGAAATATATTGACATCTCCTAGAAGTTTGAGTAAACACACTTGAACGCCCATGAGGTCCTTGCTTTTACCTAGGTAATATTCAGTCCCATTCCTTAGTGTAATTTTTGTTACCTTGCATTCTAAATCTGACGTTTCTTGTAGTGCTTCATGAACGCTGTTCTCCAGTGTCTGAGCAGCACCAAACCCCTGCGAGATTATGTTCTCCGCCAGGAGTACCGACACGAACAGCCTGGCAGCAGCAAGGGCCAGCAGGAGCTCACGGAAGGTATGTATAAGGATGTATCCTCTTTGTGTGTTAGTGCTGGAAATTCTGTCTGTGTTATTTAGGCGGATATTCATGTAATGTAAAACATTATGCTTTATAGCTTAACTAAAAATACCTATGCAAACTCCCATAAACCTTAAACATGCATATATCGATATACGTTTGTTTGTGTCCATTATGATAATTTTATTTTATACAGGAGTTTAACCCCTTAAGGACCAAACTTCTGGAATAAAAGGGAATCATGACATGTCACACATGCCATGTGTCCTTAAGGTCATCATTCCTTTCTGATATTACATGTGTAAATCAGGTTACTACTTTAATCTCCACGTTTTTTTGTTTTTGCAGTCTTTGCTGATGTTATTGCATCTCTGTGGAGTCCTGAAGCTACCGATGCTGTTAACCCGTCCCGGTTAAAATCAGTCTTTCAAAAATACGTTCCGTCTTTCACCGGCTACAGGTAAGTGGGACATGGTAGAATATGTAATCTTCTAATCTGCTTTCACTGCCACTTAATCTGACCAGGGAGTGAGAGGAGCAGACTAAGGGTAGAGAGAAAGCACGAGCTGTACGGATTGTGTTCTCCGTAATCCAACATGGAACGCTGCTCACTCTGATTTATAACAGTGAAGGACAAAGTCTTCTACCAGTAAATGCATACAATTATAATGTAAAAGCTTGCGTTACATCTTATCTCCGTGGTTTGCATGGGACCGGTCACGTGTCATCCTGACTTACAGGAATGAGAGGACGTGATATGTTATCTTCCGATCACTGTGAGTCAGTATGTTAAAGGACCACTATAGGCACCCAGACCACTTCAGTTTAATGAAGTGGTCTGGGTGCCAAGTCCATCTAGGATTAACCCTTTCTGCTGTAAACGTAGCAGTTTCAGAGAAACTGCTATGTTTACTTTCGGGTTAATCCAGCCTCTAGTGGCTGTCTCATTGACAGCTGCTAGAGGCACTTCTGCGCTTCTCACTGTGAATTTCACAGTGAGAAAACGCCAGCGTCCATAGGAAAGCATTGAGAATGCTTTCCTATGGACTGGTTAAATGCGCGCGCGGCTCAGGCCGTGCATGCGCATTCAGCCCTTGATGGGGAAAGGAGGAGGAGAGTCCCCAGCGCCGAGGGAGCCCTGCGCTGGAAAAAAGGTAAGCCTTTAACCTCTTCCTCACCCTAGAGCCTGGCGGGAGGGGGGCCCCGATGTTGAGGGGGAACCAAGGACCCTATAGAGCCAAGAAAAATAGTATGTTTTCCTGGCACTATAGTGGTCCTTTAAGGAGGAGAACCAAAGGGGGTCTCACAAACTGTTTCTACTATCACCTTGCACAGAAAAAGACATTCTTTAGAGGGGACTGAACTCCTTTTATTAAAGGAACACTATAGTGTCATGAATAAAAATGTGTATTCCTGACATAGGTGTGAAACACCATTTAGGTACCCGCCCCCCCCTTTCCGCTTACATTTTTTCAGCGTCACACAGGTCTCTTTATGGCTGGTCCAACCCATGCTCCGCCCTCTTTGACTGAGATCATCAATTTTGTGAAAGCATTGGGAGGCTAATGTGCATGTGTGGCTGAGAAGGCAATGTTAACATTAACATGTCTACAGGGACAGACACCAAAACCACTACATTAAGCTGTAGTTGGTCTGATGACTATATTGTCCCCTTAAGAGTTTTCTTAAATAATTACTGTATGCACGTGCTGCTCCAGGCCTTGGGGTTGGCCTCAGCCCCTAGTAGCAATATTTAAATGAACAAAAAGAGTCCAGACATTAAATGCAGCATTACACAAGGCAACATTTTGGTCACAAATTGTGACATTTATGGCTTAATAAAGGACATGGTTTGCCGTGTGTAATGCTGCATAAATTGGCTGTTTAATACGCTGAGTGCCTGGACCCTTCTTGTTCGTTCTAATATCATCTTGTATAGAGACAGCCGGCAACCTCACTAGAACATGGGGCTGAATGCGGGATGGCCCTGATCACCCTGGACAAAGGTGAGTAGCCAGGTAAGGAAAGGAAGAATGATGATTGTGGTTAAAATTGTAAACTTTATATCCCATTTTTTTTTTTTTTTGGTTCAGTGGGTAGTGTAAAAACAGGAGAAATTCAGTTGAGACAAAATAACCCCAATACTTTCCACTATTTATTGCCTTCATGTGCTATGTGTAGTTAATTCCTATTTTAGTCTTCGGATCCTGGTACCCACTAAGATGTTGGAACACTCCAGACCAGGCAACCTTTGGCATTCCAAATGTGAACTACATCTCTCCTGAACTACATCTCTTCTAATGCTTTGCCAGCATTATGGCTGTAAGAGCATTATGGGGGATGTAGTCTACCACTTCTGTAGTGCTGAAGGTTGCCTATCCCTGCACTAGACTTACAGTGTACACAGTGCTAGCATTGCTCAATCCCTATATTTTTCCTTTCCAGCCAACAAGATGCTCAGGAATTCCTTAAGTTTTTCATGGATCGAATTCATGTTGAAATTAATAGAAAATGTAGAAAAACTCCCAGCATCCTCTCTGACACCAAACGCCCCATGCCTGTAGAACCTCAAGATTCTCTCAGGTAATTAACTGTTTGATCACAATGTTGTGTTATGTTAAAGTGTAAGGAAATTGACAGGATATTAATTAATGTAATAGATTTTGAAGAGAAATTCTTAGTTAAAAGAATTGTCAAAGTACCATAACCACTGCAGCCCAGTATTAGTAGTAGTTATGGTGTAGGAGTGTCCTTGCTCCATTCCAGCATAATTTGTCAAACTATTTTAGCATTGTTAGACACCTACCTGTAACCCTCTGACCATCCACGCTGCTTCCAGATTCGCATTAGGCACTCATGACACTATAACCACTTCAGGAGGCTGTTCATGTAACTAATTATACATTGAGCTGAGTTGAAAAGAAATAAAGTTAAAGGATCACTATAGTGTCAGGAAAACAAAGCGGTTTTCCTGACCTTATAGTGCCCTGAGGGTGCCCCCACCCTCAGGGTCCCCCTCCCGTGGCGCTGAAGGGATTAAAACCCCTTCAGCTACTTACCTTTATCCAGCGCCGGGCTCCCTCGGCGCTGGTGACCTCTCCTCCCCGTCCGACGTCACTGGAGCTGAAGTGGTCTGGGTGACTATAGTACCCTTTAATGTGATGGCTGGGCGTTTGCATGGGTTTATAGTGTTTCTGCTTGTGTTTATTTTAAAATTATGGATCCAAGCACTCCAAATGGGAAACTGCAGTCATTCATCGAAATCAGGATAAATGAACCTGACATTCCAACCACACCATGTGGTCTTTATCAAATCTAAAGATTAAATTGAGATTCGAGAAAAACCACATGGCATGGTCAAAATGTCACATTCATGTCTTCTGATTTTGATTAAAGACTTAAATTTCCCATTTGGAGTTCTCAGATCTGTAATTTAAAAATTGATTGCATAATGGATTAGCCACCCTGGGTCCTTGGCTGCACTATTGGGAGTTTTAATTGATGGAAGCATGCAGTCCCTATTATATGTAAATCTGTGCTCATTTATTTCATTGCAGTTTGAAATAAAACTTGTTGGATACAAAAACAAAAATAGTTTTGAGACAGCTTCTTAGCAGCATTACCATTACAATAAAGTGTGGTGGTTATTTTGCTTGGAATGTCTTTTTAAATAAAAACTCTCCGTTAACAATTTGTTATTTTTTTTTTATCATAGCTTTGTTCCTGCCCTAAGAACAGTTCCCTTGTAGTAATACTTGTCAGCAGTGATTGAGATAGATCTGGCTTGACCGTGCTCTCAGAGGTTAAGTGAAAATTGCTGGGAATTCTAAGTGAATTTCAAATTTAAGGCCAAAATAAGCAAACTGAAAGCATTGTTGACTAGGAGAATTTTTACAGTTTTACTATTTTGGCCTTAAAGGGACACTATAGTCACCCAGACCCCTTCATCACATTGAAGTGATCTGGGTGCAACGTCCCTGTCCCCCTTAATCCTTCAATGTAAATCATAGCAGTTTTACAAAAACTGTAATAATTACATTGCAGGACTAAGACTGCATGAGGACATCCAGGGTCAATAAAATACCCTTAGAAAAACATTGAAGCAATGCTTTCTTTTGGGGAGGGCCTAATGCGCTTGCGATGCATTAGGAGGAGAAGACGGAGTGTCGACACTGGATTCGAGTGAGTAATCAGAGTTGTTGTGTTTTTTTGTTTTTTTTTAACCCTTTACATGCCGGTGCATAGGCGAGAGGGAGGCGGCAGGATGCAGAGGAAACTATAGTGTAAGGATCTCTGTATTCCTTACACTATAGAATCCCTTTATATCTGAATTCCTGACAATTTTCACTTTTCTGTAAAAACCCTGACCATATCAATGTGGTTGGGAGCTTTAGCATGATGATCTAATGTTGTATATTGTCTCTCTCTTAGTGATGATGAAAGAGCCAACCAGATGTGGAAGCGTTATCTTGAAAGAGAAGACAGCAAGGTGGTAGGTGAGTGTTTGGTAGAAGATAGCTTTAGCGTGGTGTCTCCCAGTAACCACAAGGTCTCAAATCTTAAAGGAACACTACAGGGTCAGAAACACAAACATGTATTCCTGACTCTATCGTGTTAAACCCACCATTTAGGTTGCTCCCTCCCCCTCCCCTTAGGCCTCTAAAAGCAATTAAAAATCACCTTATATCCAGCGTCGCGCAGGTCTGCCTGCGCTAGCTCCGCCCCCTTGGTGACATTATCAGAATTTATGGATTTTTAGCCAATCTAATGCTTTCCTATGGGAGTGGCCTCTTGGAGGTGTCCCTAGGGGCAATGTAACCACTGCCTTTTATCTGAAAAGGCAGTGTTTGCATGAAAATGCCTGAAGGCAATGATCGTACTGACCAGAACAACTATATTAAGCTGTAGTTGTTCTGGTGACTATAGTGTCCTTTTAAAGGAACAGGAATATATAAATCCTGATTGCTTACGTGCATTTAGATATTTTAGTAAATCATCCTATCGTGTTTCCTCAGAATGGTTAAAAACCAGTATGTAATATGATACATGAAATACACGCTTAATATAATGCTACAGCTCCTCTCTTTCTACCCATCATTTTATGACTTTAGATCTGTTTGTTGGCCAGTTGAAGAGCTGCCTTAAATGCCAGTCTTGCGGCTACCGGTCGCCCACATTTGAAGTCTTCTGTGATCTGTCTCTTCCAATCCCCAAGGTATGAGCTCTATCATTCAGGCTTAGTTAAATGAGAGTTGTTGGGACTTGAATTCGTTTGCATCTTCTCACTGTGATTTTCACAGTGAAAAGCACGCAAACGCGTCTAGCGGCTGTCAATGAGACAGCCACTAGACTAGAGGCTTCAGAGGTTGGATTAACCCTATTATAAACATAGCAGTTTTTCTGAAACTGCTATGTTTATAAAAAAAAAAAAAGGGTTAATCCTAGAGGGACCTGGCACCCAGACCACTTCATTAAGCTGAAGTGGTCTGGGTGCCTAGAGTGGTCCTTTAATGAATTTGGTGACTATATTATACCTTTAAGTCTAAAATAGCTGAATTGGGAGAATTCTCCAAGTTTGAAATTCACTTTTAATTTAATTTGAATTCACAACCATTCTCACGTAAGTGAATAACCCTGAGACTCTCAATGTGAGGGGGGGGCAGGCAGTGTCAGCTGGATGTTCCACAGAATATTTCTGTCAAACTCATTTGCTCTCACTGGCCCATAAATCTCACTTTTCATCTTTTCCATTTCCTGTTTACACTTTTTTCTCCCTGCGATAAGTTGCTGGCTGATTGCTTCGTGCTTCACCCTGATAAAAACATGTGAAACCTATCGCCATACTGTCAGCGTATCTGCAGCCCTTACTCTAAGATTACCCTAACGCCCACGTAATCCCCTACTGAAGATCACAGAAGGGATTTCACTGACTAATTATAATCCCTTCTTGAAGTTTATTTCTGCTTGTCTTATACACTAGCTCTGAGCAATAAATCTTCTCCCCACTTTCCACTTCACGGGCCATTTAACATTACCTTAATAGATTTCTATATGTTTTTATTTATACTGTATTTCACCTTATTAATCCCCAGTATAATTCCCATCACTGTAACCCATGCATGGTCCTTTCTGTTTATGAACCTAGCTTGATTCTATTTCATTTTAATATGCATTGCACTTATTGTGTGTAATCACTAACCTTTGTGAAATGCTCTTAAAATAGAAAACATGTATACATTGCATTAGATAAACTATTAGAAAATTCAAAGATGGTTATTTAAAGGGGTTTTGTTAATGCCTGAGTAGGGTGCAGCATGCATTCTTGCATCTCTATAATCAACCAGTTGCAAGTTGAAGCAGTGCATTGTGGGACTGAGAATTTGCTCACCAGCAATACGTGGGATTTGTATAAATCAAAGACGATTTCATTTCATTAACCCATACATTATTCAAGCAATGTATAGTTTGACTGTCCAACTCTTAAAAGATTATTATTGTCTGCATGCGATCTATTCCCCCTCTCCCCCCCCCCTTGTTGTCTATTCCAGAGCCTTTCCTTTTGCCAGGCAGGTTCTTGGTAAATGCAGAATATAATGTAACATCACCTCTATCTACTTTTCTCTGCAGAAAGGCTTCACAAGCGGGAAGGTCTCTCTCTTAGACTGTTTTAACCTCTTCACAAAAGAAGAAGAACTTAACTCTGAAAATGCCCCGGTAAGTGAGATTTCCAAGTGTTTGTTTATATCTGTAACTTGGTTATTCCTTATTTTCCAATCCACGCTACAAATTGCAGGTTTTTGATCTGTTTGGATTGTGTGTCAGACAGGTTGTTCTTTCTAGAATTGCATTGCCGTATTATTCTGTATGAAATCATCCCAGCTGCAAATAAGAGCCAGGTTACTATCAGGAAACCTAGTTGGCAGGTTTTGTATCTATATTTCTCGGCAAAACATAATTTAATAAAATTTCATTATATTTGAAATTTAAAGGACACCATAGTCACCAGAACAACTACTATTTAATGTAGTTGTTCTGTTGTGTGTAGCTTTTCCCTGCAGACGTTTTAATGTAAATTCTGCCTTTTCAGAGAGTACCTATTAACACCTCTAGTGGCAGTCACCCAGACTAGAGTTGCATCCTGGGTCAATGCTGCACAATGTGTAATTTGCATGAAGGCATTGAATGTTCCTCATAGAGATGCATGTATTTAATGCATCTCAATTAGGAGATGCTGATTGGCGCAGCGCAGCATTTTCCTGCGCATGCAGAACAGCCTCCCAATGCTTTCCGATGGTGCTGGAATCACTGTAAGTTTATTTTTAACAAAGGCGAGGGGGACTGCCAGCTAACGTGCTTTTAACTTTTAATTTTTTTTTACTTTATTCTTGAAATCTGGCATGTTTTGAGATAGATTTATAATCTTAAAGGAACAATATAGTGTCAGGAACACGGGTTTCTAATTCTGACACTATATTGTTCCTTTAAGATTATAAATCTATCTCAAAACATGCCAGATTTCAAAAATAAAGTAAATGTGCTTGAGCTGCTCAAAGCTGCAGCATTTGTTGTGATTGCAGTTTGACATCAGACTAAAAAACGCTGACAAAACTGTTACATGCTTTCTCTCCCCCCAGATCTGTGATCGCTGCCGGCAGAGGACAAAGAGTACCAAAAAGCTCACAATCCAGCGCTTCCCCAGAATACTTGTGCTCCGCATCCTTTTACTGTCATTAGATGATGTTGGTTGCTGCCATTCCTTTTATAATATTTATATCAGACTGGTTGTTATACACTTCCGATTCCATATATTTGAGTAGACTAACATCTGGGCCTGCGCTACCACTAGGCAACAAGCAGCCTCATAGTGTGCACCGGTCCGGGGGGAGGTGCAGTCTCCAGTGTCCGAAAGGACCACAGTAGAGGACATTCCGTATATCCTGCACCCGGTCTGACAGGAAACTGTTTGCTGAGAGCACAAAACAGCTTCCTGTCAGACCAGGTAGAGGACACAGAGTCCTCCACTGCGGACTGCACTGCCAGCTACTTGAAGGTACAAAGAAACACACAGGGCTGAGCAGGTGGGGGGGGGGGGAGGAGAGGGAACAGAGGGCCGAGGGGAACAAAGAGACATATGGAGGGCTGGGGAGGGGGTAAAGAGACACAGAGAGGCTCGGAGGGCAAAGAGACACAGAGGGCTTGGGGAGGGAACAAAGACACACACAGAGAGGCTCTGGGGGCAACAAAATACACAGAGAGCTGGGGGTGGGGGTCAAAGAGACACACAGAGAGGCTCTGGGGGCAGCAAGACACACAGAAAGGCCCTGGGTGCAAAGAAAAACACTCAGGGCTGTGGGGACAAAGGCACACAGAGGGGAGGGGCTGAGCTGGAACAAAGAGACACACAGAGGCATGCTGGGGGGGGGGGGACATAGTAGTTTCACGTTTTATGCTTGAAATGTTTTCTACAAATCTGTTTTTAAAAATTGAACTTGACAATTTTCGTTTTTTGGGGGAAGAGGTAATAGCTAGTATTGCCTAGTGCACAATACAGTCTAGCACCGACCCTGACTGACATTTTTCAATTCTAGTGATGTCAACACAGGGAAATACTGAAACTCTTTCAACTGAGGTTCTGTCTATATTATTTAGTGAGTGTCAAGTAGCAGTGTAAACGGAATCACTGAGGGTTATTCAAATATGCGTGTGAGCTTAGAGGGCTTGTTCTTCTTACTGCTGTAATAGGCTCTGCAAGAAGCTTGCAGTATTATCATGGTAACCGATCAAAAAAGCTCTGATAAGAAAAAAAAAATATTAGCTGCACCATCTGTTGTAAAATGTCCCACTGCTCCATTTACTGGAAAATATATCATCTCATCTCTAGGGAACCCTAATCCTGTACCCATCCTAATATTTGTTATGTATGTGTGTGTGTGTGTGGTATTTTGGCATATATTATATATATATATATATACACACACACAGAGTATTGCACTATTCAACATTACCTTTTTTACTGGACTTATAAGACAAGCTTTCAAGAGTTTTCCTCTTCCTCGAGTCTGAACCAATAATGATCGATATGATAGAGTTTACCATAAAACAACTAATGTTGTTAGAGAAGGGGAGGGGGTTGAGTGGGTAGTCACTCAATCCTCTTCCCTTCTCTTACCCACTCAACCCCTTCCCCTTCTCTAACATCATAGATAATGTTTGGGAGGAACCTGAATACTTTTGCAAATATGATATCTCTATTAATTTGTTTGGTGGTCCCTTTAGTAGAAAGCATGTAGCAGATCTACTTGCCTCTTCTTTTTCTAGAGCTCCACCATCTTATGTATTTTCCCTGGCATGCCAGAAGCAAATTTTCGCTCTCCAATGTGTAGTGGTGGGTGGAAATTTTGAGCCCTGATTGAGGGATGTTGTGAATTTTGTAGTTTTCTAGGAAATGTTCAGTTTCTGTTCTTTTCCTCCTTTGCATTTTTCTTAACTCACTCCCATCCAGATCTGAACAGGTTCTCAACCACAAGGTTCTCCATTAAGAAATGCTCAGTCTTTGTGGACTTCCCTCTGCAAAGACTCAACCTCAAGGAGTTTGCCAGTGAAAAAGCAGGTGAGTCTCTATGACCACTGACCGGTCATAAATCTAGGAGACTGGTCCACCTTGTTCTGCCTCTCTCCTTCTTGTTTGGTCTAGTTCCTCCCTCCTGTTTTCTGCATGTTCTTATGGTCTTGCCCTCTCAGTCTCTGCCTCTGTTCCATCTGTTGATTTCACGTGTATGCAGGGCCGGATTGGGGATACAAAGCAGCCCTGAAAAAAAAAATCTATGCCAGCCCCATAAGTCATTGCGCCATATATTGTTGCATGTAATATGTAAGGCTATGTCTTGCCACCCCAGGTGATAGAGTAATATATACACACACATATATATATAGCTTTTTCTAATATAAAATATTGGTCCTTTCAGAGTAAAACATTTAATTATACAGTAAGCATACTCACATGCAGACACAGACTATCTCACTGACACACACAAGCTCATTGATACACAGCCTCATAGACAAACAATCTCACTGATATACATAAGCTCATTGACATAAAAACACAAGCTCACTCACTAGCACACACACACAGAGCTTAATGTAGTGGTTCTAGTGTCTATAGCCTGTCCCTGCAGGCTTTTCAATGTAAACACTAACTTTTCAGAGAAAAGGCAGTGTTTACATTGCTTCCCAGTGACAGACACTCAGACGGTCACTGGAGGCGCTTCCTGTATCAGTGCGGATTGGCGGAGATCATCAAGCTTGATGATCTCAGTCATAGAGCCAGGGCCAGTCGAGGGAAGACCAGCACGAAGTTGGGGAAAAAAAAAAGGTGAGTAAAAACACTATTTTTAAAAACACACACAGACACACCCCATGACAAATACATATACCATGACAGACACACACCCTATGACACACCATGACAGACAGACACACACACATACACTCCCACTCCCACTGACAGACTGGCATACATACTTGTTGCTACCTGTGTGGGTGGGCAGACTGATAGGTGTGCTGGCGGTCTGCAGGAAGAGCTTGGATGACGTCCTATTCCGTCCCCGGTCTAATCCCTGCAGCCGCCATCCAAGCTCTCCCTGCGGCCGCAGGTCACCCACATGTCTCCCCTGCCCCAGGTGCCGACGGCCCACCGGGAAACTTCCCAGTATCCCGGTGGGCCAGTCCGGCCCTGCGTGTATGCTGTAACAACCACCTCCCAAGAAGAGAAGACTAGCTGTCTGAGGCAGTGATTATTAAACTATTCCTCTGTTGCCATTACAAAGTATTGTCTGTATTCCCCTTGGAGTGGAATTGGATCTCTTATATCGTTGGTCATTGAGAACCACATTGAGCAGGTGTTGGCTCTGTGCTTACTGTACCTGTATCCGCAGCCATGGGATGAATCTTAGACCGTTATACTGCAAATTAGATGACTGATTGCACAGACAGGGCTTTATATATGTACGGTAGGCAACGTCCTGCATAAATAACTTAGACCACACAATAAACATATAGACACAGTTTATTTATATTGAAATGGGCTAGGCCTTAAGGGGCATAAAACTATAATTGCATAACAATAAACACATTTACATAAACTTTTAACTTCCACAACCACCATATTGCTAGTCACTCTTAGCTGACATGGCCGCCTTTTATTTTAAACCGTTTGCCACCATAGCCTTCCTCAGAACTTGCTTTACAACACCCCAACAACAATAATTATAAAGAAATAAATTAATAAATGGGGGAGGGAGGGCAGGGGGGACGTTATCACTGCTCCTTAATTACAAAATGGCTGATGGCTTATGCTCACACTGCTGCAATTTATTCCTACCTAGCTTCCCGTGCTTCTCTCATGCGTGTGCTGCATCCAATTCCCAGCCAGCTTGGGTCCCTCAACAACACCCATGTCATCACTTCTGCACAGATACCTGTCTAACTATGCCCAACAACCTAGCAAGGGGCCATGAGCCTCACTTTACTTTTGCTAACTATGCAGCAAGGGCAGCGTAACCATTTATTGCCACCATACATGTATGTCACAGTGCTATGTGCCTGTGGTATTTATTTTTGACACAAATTACTTGCTGGATCTTCTCCTGTTATTCCCCTCAAAAACTCTTTCAGGGACTTTTTTCTCATGTTAACAAACTAAATATTTATACAAACACTGAAGCTAACTGAAGTGGAAATTAAACGAGGTGGAGAATGTTTCCATTCTTACGTACGTATTTTCTAACAATGACATTTCTGTGAAAAGAAATCCGTACGTGATAAACCAAAAAAAGAAGTTTGCCTCCCAAATTCAGTTTTAAATATTAAAGGAACAATGCATTAAAAAGGGGATACCATTTCCTATATAGATCCCTTGATGGCTGCAAATGTGCAGATTCTTCTGAAACTCGAAAGTGACAGCCAAAGTATCAGCCAATCTTGACTTTCATTGTTTTCATAGAGAGTGCTCTGGATAGTCCATAAACAAAGATGTATTCCTGAACCTATAGTGTTAAAGCCACCATCTAGCCACCTCTAAATATAATAAAATGTTACCTCTATTGCAGTCTGCTGCTGCTGGCTCTTCCCCTGATCTGCCTGTTCGGCTGACATAATCACAAGTGATGATCTCAGCCAATCACAATGCTTTCCCATGGGAAATTATTAGATTGGCTGAGAATGCTAAGGACGCGGACTGGGGGCAGAGCCAAAAGCAGCTCTGGCCAAATAGGAACCATCTACTTATAGAGATTAACTAAATCAGTGCATCTCCGTGAGGAAAGTTCGGTGTCTCCATGCAGAGGGAGGAGACAATGAATGTCAGGAAGCACCTTCAGTAGCCATCTGAGGGAAGGCCATTGGAGGTGTTTATAGGCTGTAATGTAAATACTGCCTTTTCTATGAAAAGGCAGTGTTTCCAACAAAATCCCTGCAGGGACTGACAATATTTTCCAGAACAACTCCATTAAGCTGTAGTTGCTCTAGTGACTATAGTACCCCTTTAAACACAGCTTCAGGACCAGGTCTTCGGAAAGACCTGCTCCCAGATTTAATTATAAAGTTTGAATTAGAACAGTTTCCCGGCAATTTCTTTGATATCAAGTATATCTGTTCAGATGCTTTATCTTTGTTTTAAAAGAAAAAAATATATATATATCTAAACCCCTTGATATCAGTGTCAAGGTTTGGCATAATATGATTACGAAGCAGAGTGTAAACATCTTAATGCGTGTGGTCACCTGCCAGGATCAGAAATAGCAAGGCTTATGGGCCAAGGTCAGCTGCGGGATTATCGAGCATCCGATACATGAGTAGATAAACCAGCCTAAAAATAAATACACCATATAATAGCAGATGAGAGTTCTAGACTACCTGACTTTCACTAGATCCCTGCTTTTTATTATAAAACAGTTCAGTAATAACACGATAAGGACTGTCTGTACCCAACAAAATCGTGAAAGCATTAACAGAAGAACTTAAAGAAAGGCATAGTTGGGAGAGCCGCGACCGGATTTACATTTCATGTGCCTGCAAGCGTATAATTCTCAGGTGTGCCTTTGTCCATGCAGAAGAAATACAGGAAGAACTTCATATCTCAGCAAATGGGAGAAGAAAAAAAAAAAAATCACTAAATCTCAGAAGGAAAGGATAGATAAAAATATATCAAATGCAAAAAGCGCACATGTGTAGTAGGGAAAGTGCCGTGGAACACAGGTTCCTGTAGGCAGCTGCGTATGGGCAAGTCCAGCCCCAGAGAGAGTTGTACTGATGTTTGAGTTGAACTGTCCTCAGATCTTCAAGGATTGTAATATGCCGATGCAAGGAATGATTAAGGTTTAATAGCGTGAATTATTTATCAGAGACACTCTTCCTCTTGTTTCAGGAAGCCCTGTGTATAATCTTTATGCTCTGTGCAATCACTCGGGCAGTGTGCACTATGGGCATTACACGGCTTACTGCAAAGACCAGTCTGGGTGGTTTGCCTACAACGATGCAAGGTGAGTTCTCAATGTACTCTTTTATACAGGCTGTTATTGTTCACTTTTAAAGGGTTGCCATCACTTATCTGGAATTTGCACCATTAAATAGAACCTTAAAAAACATCTAAAACTGTGTTAAAGGGACACTCCAGTGCCAAGAAAACAAATCGTTTTCCTGGCACTGCAGGTCCCCTCTCCCTTCCACCCCCCATCCCATGTTGCTGAAGGGGTGGTTTAGGGTCCGTCGGCGGGGGAGACCTAATGCGCATGCGTGACAATGCCGCCCACGCACATTAGACCTCCCTAAAGGAAAGCATTAAAAATGCTTTCCTATGGGGTTTTAACGACACTGGAGGTCCTCACATAGCGTGAAGACGTCCAGCGATGCTATAGCACAGAAAATCTGTGCTATAAACCAGGAAGTGCCCTCTAGTGGCTGTCTAGTAGACAGCCACTAGGAGGAGTTAACCCTGCAATGTAATTATTGCAGTTTATGAAAACTGCAATAATTACACTTGCAGGGTTAGGGGTAGTGGGAGTTGGCACCCAGACCACGCCAATGGGCATAAGTGGTCTGGGTGCCTGGAGTGTCCCTTTAACATTTATTTCATGTGATGGTCCTTATTTTTTTTTTATTTTATTTTTTAATTATCAAAAAATTTAGCTGTTGACATTTGAAACCAGTGTAGTTCTGGCATAGCCAAGGCACACCATGCAAATCAGGAGAAGAAACAGACACATTTTTTTTGTTTTTATTTCTCCTCATACACTTACCATATTCAGTGACAGAAAAGGCATTGATTGACAGAGCCAATATGATTTGTTTCTAGATCTAATTTTAATTTTCAGATCTCACACACGCGTTAAGTATATGTAGACATAATATTAAAACATTTCTGGAAAGTGAAGGTTCCCCATTTAAAATGATCCAGACAGCAGATCCAGAATTCACCATTCAAGCTAGTATTATTACGCTTTATTTACTTAACTCTTTAAATGATTTACCACTTTTTGCATTACCAGAGTGTCACCCGTCGGCGAAAGCCAGATTACGTCCAGCGAAGGTTATGTTCTCTTTTATGAAATGGAAGACGCATGTTGGAAATAAACTTTGAGAACATCAGACCTTTATTTCAGGATTTTTTTTTTCTTGACTTGACTACTGTTAACCCCTTCAAGGAAGTGACACTCTCCCTCCTGGCCGGGACTCAGCTCTAGTCACTGCAACCAATGGCTTTATGCTGATTTGTTGGAGGGCCTGTCATCCTAAGGACAGCCATGAAATGAAAAGCAATAATGACTTCTCTGGGAGTTGGTTTAACAACTTTCATATTTAAACTAGAGACATTAAACAAAGTCGCACAAGTTCCTATTCTGTCCTTCGTCTGTGTGTTATATGCATCTACAAAGAGCTATGATTGACTATCTCCAAACTGTCCGAGACAAGCTGATTGGCATCATGTTATCACCTGGATTGGCATACAGACTACAAAGATGGCCTGGAGTCTGCCTGTTACTCAATATTTTATTAATTTATAATTTTTTCTCACGAACATTCAAAAATGTCTAAAATTACACCAGCAATAGTCAAGAGATAGTCCTCTTGCTGTTGTAAATGCAAATCTCAAGATCATTTGATAGTTTGTAGTCCGACTTACCATAATCCCTTACCAACCTTGGCAAGGCATTATGGGAATTCGACAGTTTGCCATACATGCGCTACATGAATGACCAGGGTAATTTGCAATTCAACGGTTGACTTTTTGGGAAATGACGAAACTGTAGCTCACATATTGGTGAAAATGGGAGTTCGGTGGCTTCCTTTTTTAATTTTCTTCAGGAAGAGATGTTTGTTTTCATAGCTGCATTCATTGAAATATTCAGAAATGTTTTTAATATATATATCTATTTTTTAAGTCGTGTTTGTACAACAGGCGAGTGCTTGCAGAAATGTTTTGTAAATACTAAATAATGGACTGATAATTATATTAACTTTTATCAGTAAATTTGCTACAAAATGTGAAATATATTCTTTAACACTGCAAAAAATGAGGGTTAAATACAGAAATATATAACCGTATTATATGACATATAGGGCCAAATGAGAAAAGTCAAGGTAAAGTTCCTTCTTTGACCACTAAGTTTAGTGGGGTATGGGGGTGGGGGAAGAAAAGTTTTGTGTCCGATTGTTACATGAAAATTTTTTAGAGAGGAACCGCACTCAATTTAAGTTGACACTAGGTGCACTGAAGCAGGACCAGCACATCCCACAACGATAAGGCAAACAGAAAACAAGTCTCCAGGCTCTCAAGGTGTTTAACCCACAGGCGGGTTTATTGGGTCAAAAAAGTGATAGCAATGTTTCGACCTACTACACCTTTATCAAGCTATGATGAAACATTTATTTATAAAAAATTTTACCAGGAAAGATACATTGAGATTTCTCTCGTTTTCAAGTATGTCCTGGGTCCACAAAATATTGCATTGATACATTAGGGTACAATAAAATACAAAAACAATATTAATAGACAATAGATACAAAATATAACATAGAACAGGTAGGAAATATATAATCAACCATGACAGGTGCATTCTGTTTTGAGGTATGTAGAGAGGGATCTATCACTTTTTTTTGACCCAATAAACCTGCCTACGGCTTAAACACCTTGAATGCCTTCAAGCTTGTGACTTTTTTTTCCCGTTTGCCTTATTGTTACATAAACACGTTATTGACTTCCTTTATTTGTCGATCTTCCTCCCTCCCCTGTTCCAAAGCTACAGTGAGTCCATTGCTTCCTGGCAAAGTTAAACAAGGATTACTAAAGGGGGAACTGGCAGGGAATTTCAGATGATTTTTTTTCCCAAATCTGCTAATTTGGGCATTAACGTTTTAAGTTCACCTTGATTTTTTTATTTTTTTATTTATACAATCTACACTTTGTGGAATAACCTTGCCAACGTTTAAAAATGACTTTCAGCATATCGTAAAGATGTTTTTGAATTTCCTTTTTTAAAGTCATGTTAGGAGTTCTTTCGGTGTATTTAAATGCTGTGCAATACTCAAAACACAGCAATCAGAAGGTAAATGGAAAGAGTCTCATGCAAAGCAGGAGTTATGTTCTCAGCTTCAATAAAAGATGGGACAGGACAGGTGCTATTTACAGAATGACCAGCAGGGGGAGTCAGCATGTTAAGAATATGCATTGCTCAATACGGAGCATTATACTATGAATTGACATATCCTTTTTTTTTTTTAAATCATACTGGGCTTGACGATCTTCACTATTGACCACAGCACATGCACTGTGGTAGCCATGCTCCACCAATTCAATCTTGGTTATTGTGCCTGGAATGTTTTTATTTATTATTCTTTATTTTTGTTGTGCAGACGAGTACAAAGATGTCTGCTATGCTATGACAGTAAAAATAAGCTCAGTGATATCAATATAGTAAACCGTAGTATGGCATTTGAGAGTCAGCTCAATTTTGTAGATATAGCAATTAACAGTGATAATCAGGCTTGACCAACATGAGATTAAATACTAGACATTGTGGTTATGTAAGGGAATATAGAAGCATAGCAAGGCAAGCAGTAATATTCTTATAGTATCTCGATGCCGTAGGTAAAGCATATATGTAAATACAACATACATGTTGTATGCATGTTCAGGTTTCATTTATATATGTAAATACGTCTGGGTGGTCATATGGATGATATGCAGGGCAAGGGAATAAACTATGCTCAGCATGCAGAGTAGGATCAAGCTTGTACCACTGAGGCCATACACATTAAGCAAACATTCAAAGAAAAAACAGAAAAAGATAAATGAAAAAAATAACCAGCTGCTGTTCGAGCTAGGCCGCATTAGCTGGTATATGTCAGCTCACATTGAAGGACAGTCACCCAACTCTCTGCATGGGTATAAAGCATGAGTAGCATTCAAGTCTGCGCTCGTGGGCCACACAGCGCAGTCGGGGTGAGGCGCCCCTCAGTGGCTTCCTGAGGCCAAGTCCTTCCCCGGTGGAGGGGCTGCACTCTGCTGCTTTTGCAGGTGTCAAGCGATCCTCCGCAAATGTGGGTCGCATGTAGGGGCTCGAACACCGCATGGTTTCGGCTGTTGCTTTGCCCGGTTGGGGCCTCTCCGGCTTTACTTTGCCATTCATTTCCAGTAGACTGAGCTGTAGATGCTGTAAGCTGCTTGCGTCTTTCCAACTTCGCCTAGAATTTATCAAAAAGTGCCTCCAGCCTCACGTGCGTCGGCCATCTTGTGGTATGCTTGAGTCGGCCCCGTGTCTGAGATTAAGTGTAACAAGCTAATTTGAGCTGTAGAAACTGGCCCAGCGGGGACAGAGAACTCCCACCGGTCCAAAGGGCGGGGGGAGAACAGTGCCCAGGCCGCAGTCATAAAGGCTCCAAGGCGAGAGATCGGCTGCATCTCTCATCGCAGGTCAGTCGGCAGGCAGCAGAAAGTGTCCCAGTTAGTGAGACACTAGACCCCGCTGGAATCTTTAAAGGTTGCGTCGGAACTCCTACAATGGAGCTCTCCAGAGCACCCCAATCAGTTCTTCTGACCCTTAGGGTAGGTTTAGTGCTGGTCAAGCATGATAGGGGGTTAGATTTTTTTATGCAAGGTAAGAGCTTAACCCCTTAAGGACTGGACTGTTTTTGCGATGTTGTACATTTGCGACCAGGCATATTTTTACACTTTTGTGGTGTTTGTGTTTGGCTGTAATTTTCCGCTTTCTCATTTACTGTTCCCATACAAATTATATATTGTTTTTTTCAGGACAAAAGGGGCTTTCTTTACATACCATTATTTATCTAATCTCATGTATTTTAATTTTAAAAAAATACAAAAATCTGATGAAAAATTGAAAAAAATACATGTTTTTTGACTTTTACTTGAAAAATCTTTTACTCATCTACAAAAGCGAATGAAAAAAACTGCTAAATAGATTCAAAATTTTGTCCTGAGTTTAAAAATACCTAGTGTTTACGTGCTTTTTTGCTTTTTTTTGCATGTTATAGGGCTATAGGTACAAGTAGGATATTGCGGTTTCAAAACATACATTTTAAAATTTATCAATAGTGACATTGTAACACTATTATCTGTCATAAATCTCTGAATAACACCCCACATGTACATATTTTTTTTAAAGTAGACAACCCAGGGTATTCAATATGGGGTATGTCCAGTCTTTTTTAGTAGCCACTTAGTCGAAAAAACACTGGCCAAAGTAAGCATTCATATTTGTTTGTGTGTGAAAAAAGTAAAAAAACTAAATTGAACGCTAATTTTGGCCAGTGTTTGTGACCAAGTGGTTACTAAAAAGACTGGACATACCCCATTTGCAATACCTTGGGTTGTCTTCTTTTGCAAATGGTATGCCATCATGGGGGTAATTCTCATTCCTGGGCTACCATACGCTCTCAAAGGCAACGTGACCAACCTGGCCATTTTCAATGTAAAATATTTGACCCATATATTTGACCTTGTAACTTTCAAAAATGCTATAAAACCTGTACATGGGGGGTACTGTTTTACTCGGGAGACATCGCTGAACACAAATATTAGTGTTTAAAAACTGGAAAACGTATCACAACAATTATATCATCAGTAAAAGTGCTGTTTGTGTGTGAAAAATGCAAAAAAAGTAACTTTCACTGACAATATCATCACTGTGATATGTTTTACTGTTTTGAATCACTAATATTTGTGTTCAGCTAAGTCTCCCGAGTAAAACAGTACCCCCCATGTACAGGTTTTAGGGTGTCGTAGAACGTTACAGGGTAAAATACAGTGCTAGCAAATTAAATTCTCTGGAATTTCGGCCTGGGTTGGCAGGCAGGTCCCTCAAATTGCAATAAATAAAATTACTGAATTATGTAAAAATATTACATAAATACGCACGTAGAATTTAAATATATATGCATATTTATATATTTGAAGTCTACGTGTATATTTATATAATTATTTATGTACTTTTGTATATGGACGTATGTATATTTCTTATTATTTTTATTTATTTTTATATACATAGATATATATACAAATTCATTCTAAGTGTATTTTGATATAAATATATATATATTAATTTTAAAATACA